AGTAAACTTTTTCTTTTACCGGTACAAAGTGGCCAGATGTCCAGACGTGACCCTGACTGACCAATTGACCCTGGTAAGGCACTGCAGTCCCTACGAGAACTCTGTCTGTTCTTTCCAATGTAACACGGGGTATACGCTGACTGGACAGTCTGAGATTACCTGCTTGGAGAGCGGAACTTGGTCAGATACCCAGCCAACATGTGAAAGTAAGTCTGTTTGTAATACTGCAGCATATCAAAAGAAAAATATTGGCGTTTTTAGAGAGACAGATTAAAAGAAAAGAAAGTAAATCCAGAACATTCTGTGATTGTCCATGGGCAAAGTCAGAGTTTTGATAAAAGTTATAAGTCAAATGAGGAATGCCTAAAAGTTACTTCAATATATGAATAGTGAAAAAAAACATGTTGTTCGTCACTATTTATATATTCATAAAACTATTCTTAAAACGCAATCTATTTATAGTCGTAAAATGCCCAGTGATGTCACTACCTGACCACGTGTCCAGTAACTGTGACGTAGATAGCAGGAATTACGGTACCACGTGCCAGCTGTCATGTGACACTGGGTATCGCCCCACTGTTGCCGTGACAACCACTTGTTTAGCCAATGGAACCTGGGATGCATCTCTCTCATGCGAAGGTGAGCTATATAAGTTTGATAAAGTGAAACCTACTTAAGTCATTCTTTATTATTCCTTATCATTCCAGTGAAAATCGTGTCAACCCTTGAACATGTATAGAGGCCTATAAAACTTTACTGATCTTTTTTTATTTTGTTTTATGGCATGTCCATGATGACAATTGTGCCTAGTATAAGTCAACGCATATTTCCTGTATTAAATTACTCATCGTTAATCACGGAATTCTTAAATCACGTCGGCAAAACACTTTCTATTAACTATTTTCATATACTTTAGTGTTAATATTTTTTTTTTTTAATTAAAATTTCAGTTGTTCAATGTCCACCACTCAGTCCATCCGTGAATGGCACCTTGACTCCGCCCCTCTGCAATAACTACACAGTTTTCAATGACGTATGCAGTTTAAGCTGTCCTTCGGGATACGTGGTGTCTGGGCAAACGACAGTTTCGTGTTTGGCGTCTGCGCAGTGGAACGCAGACTTGGGGACTTGCAAAGGTACTTGATAAAAATAAAAACTGAATAAAAAGTGAGTCTTAGATTACTTTACTGGTAATCAATAATGTTATTTCATTTTTAAAAACTGTGTCATTTTTAATAGACATTGGGGATAATGATATTTAATCTAACGGAACATTTCAGCTTAATTATCCCAGCTTCTGTTCAGCTGGTTAAGTATATATCTTAAAATACAGATAATATCCAAGTGACATTGAAATAATACACCCCTGCCACCGAGCCCTAGATGCCCTTCTTACTCGCTCCACGGATGTCAATAACGTCACTTCCCTTCCGAGAAAACGATCAAAAGCTGCATGACAAAAGAAGTTTATTTTTGGAGGAAATTTACAGGAAAGTCATTTCGACAAACACGACTCGACTACTGTCTAGGGCCCTGCCAAAAATGTCACACTATTGAAGAAAAGAACAGGATGCAAAGTCGTCAGCCCAATTAAACCATTTCTAAATGTTTGCAGGCAAAGAGAAATATTCCCAGACTCCACTTGCGGATACGGAATTTTAAGAAATGGGAATTTCCTTCGACAACTTCTTCAAAGCGAACAAAACGTTAAATTGTACTAAAAGAACCCCGTTGAATAATGCCAGTGAACATTTCAATAAATGTAAAGTCACGTTTTAAAACTAAGACAACAGGATATAAAACAGTCACTGTAATTAAGTCGTTTCATTTGTCTGCACACATCTAAAAAATTCCTCAGCCTTTATGAAAGCGATGAGTAAATCAAATTCTGTTCGTCATGATGAGTTTGCACTTGCGGATCCGGGATATGAAAACATGGTTATTTCCCTGAACCCGCTCTCATCTCCCGCAAACTAACTAAGGATAATACTGCCCCTGTCTTTGTTTAAAGAACTCGTTAATATATTCATTACAAGCACATTTGGCACAATATCTACGATTCCGTACAGCACAGTACGCTGATGAACAATATTGATAAGTGACAAAGGCACTATAATGTATGCTTGCCCCCAAATTTAACCACGTCAGGTTTTACGCTAGAAGCAGGGAAGATCCCAACAATCCTTTTTTTTCTTATTTTGTAAATGCCCAGCACCTCAACTAATATTTACTTCCAACACGCCTAAATAGAGTTCCATAGGCGTCATAATAATAATAATAATAATAATAATAATTTATTAGGTAAAATTGCAACCCTAAGGTTGAAGTTCTACAAAGAATGTTTTAAAAGAAAATTGACCATAAGCTTTAAATTATAAAACAATAAATTATTCCTAAATAAATTACGTATGCCTATCCCCAAGTTTTCTACCACGTCGGGTTTATGCTAGAAGCAGAGGGTTCTAAGGGGAGCCCAAGACACTTTTTATTTCATTTTCAGAATGGTTGGTACCCCCAACTAAGCTTTTTCCATCGCGCCAAAATGAACATTTGTTTTAAAATACATTCCAACGAATACTAAGGTGAATAAGAAATGCGTTCCACTATTAAATATTTGCTAAATCAGCAATGTTATTCCAGATACCCAAAAGCCAAGTTTCAACGGAACATGCCCTCAGAACCCTTTGGTCTATATCTCAGACACAGGGACCAGTAGAAAGGCGGTAAATTGGACATCAATTCACATAGAAGCCGTGGATAACTCTAACATCCTCCCATCTGTGTCTTACAAGGTAAATTATTCAGGTCACGTGCTGATTCATTTATTCATGTACTCATAAGGTATTAATGTTGCGTACAAATGAACTTCCCTGACCTGCGTCTTTCAACTAAATAACTATTGGTGTAGAACTGGCTTCCATCGGTGCAGGTCCCAAATTCTTTGTTGTCAAATGTTTTTCAACTAAGTAAATAACAATGCAGATGTATTTCTCCAATTCAGTTTAACAGACTCCCAAGGCCAAGCATGAAAGGGATATGTCTGGGTTAATTGTGCCTTGAACTTCCTTGTCGGAGATATTCTTTGAACTATTTAGTCATGGATTTTTTTCTACTCCAGGGTAAACAGGACACGTACTCTGAAGGCGATCACCAGGTTGAAATTAATGCCACTGACAACAGCGGGAATTCAGCGCTTTGTGTGTTTACAGTGACCGTGACAGGTACGGCGCTTTTGTGGTTAACTTGGAATTAAAAAAAAAACTGACGTTTCACATATAATGATTCTTTCGAAAGATTTGGCCAGGTAAAATGTTTGTGAATGTATTGTGCGTTAAGAAAGATTAATTCAATTGCTGTGGTCGACCTTGATATTTTTTTATCGCCCCCAAAGATCAATACATTTTTCTGAATCTGCAAGGTATATGTAACACGATTCTGTTGAGAAAATGACGATTTTGATCACGTTTATGTGTGTTTAATTTCTCCTTTAATCATGTCAAGTGAAATTTTAGAGAGTACATCTCTACAACTGAAGTTTTTAATGAATCTTGTCATATTATGAACATTGAATGCAGGGCTTAAAGTGACGGTTCAGAAATTCCTTGTATTACGATTCTTAAATCTGAATTCTGAAAGCCACAAATTACAGACGGGTAGATAAAAAGTAACCGCACAAATTTTTAATTACTTTTTAATTTCACTCAAAAGAGAAAACCCTGTTCTTTTAAGTACAATTTACTAACAACAAACCCTTGACCGTGTATTATCTGTTTTATTTCATCTTGTAATGAAAGTTAACAACAATTAAACGAATCTCCTGAAATGAAAGTATTCACCCTGTTTTTCCACGCCTATTTCAGTTCCACGTTGCCCGTCCCCTCCGCCTCCCCCACACGGAGCCATAGCCGCAGGGTGTTCTTTGATCCACGGCAGCGTGTGTACTGTAACGTGTGACACGGGGTACATGGTACCTAGGAATAACACGGACACCTTGCAGTGTGTTTACTCTGAGGGGAACACTCACTGGGACGGTAACCCCGTGTGTAAAGGTAATCCTACAAAACCTCCGTTGATTTACTTCCAATCATTATTTGTATCATGCCCAGGCATATGTCGATCTAACTGTAGCAAGGAGAAAGTTAGCCTATTAGCAAGATTTATTAAACATACAATAAAATTATTTATCAAATTGTTTGGATAAAAATGAATTATTGCAGAGACTCAGAGGGTCAAGGTAATCACAATTTGATGTCAGGCGTAAAGGGTTATTTCTATATTAAGATTGATAAGAAGCATAAAATATCTTGCATTGTTTTAGGGGCATAAGCTGATTTTTCTTGCAGGAAATTTCGTCAGCTGTGATATATAATACGCTCAAAAAGCTTCGACTTTGGCTGTTGTTCAGAAAAAAGCAGTGCTTTTTGGGCAAAAAATTGAATTGTGGTGTTAGATATGAGACGTGCCTTTAATAATAAATTCTCTTCTAGCGGTGACATGTCCAGTCCTGGACACTAGCCGGGGTTACATCTACCAGCGGTGTGACACGGATAGAGAACTGCCAGTTGGTACAGTGTGTGAGTTGGGGTGTGATATTGTCTACCAGAGGAGTGAGAATGATACCACCCCCACTATTCGCTGTCTACCCACCGGGCAGTGGGAGAACACGACCTTTCAGTGTATAGGTGAGTGGATGAAGTAAACACCGCGCCATTCTAATGTTTTTGTTTCAGAATTGGTGATGGTTTTGTTGCTAGTATTGAATGTAGAGGGAATATTTAGGGGAGAAAGGGAGAGAGGGAGGCGAAGAGAGTGGAGAGAGAAGAATGACCCAGGGAGGGAGAAAACGAGAGAGAGAAAAAGAGAGAGGAGTGGAAGAGAGGATAGAAGGACTAAAGAGATGGAGTGAGAGAAAAATGGTTGGGGACGGAGCGAGGGTGAGGAGAGAAAAGAGAGGGGTTAGAAAGCAGTGAGGAGAAAGAGAAAGAGTAATTGGGAATGAAGTATAGAATGAGTGAAAAAATTGTAGGGAGGGAGCGAAAGTGGTGGAAGAAAAGAGGAGATAGGGAAAAAGAGCGAGAATGAGAGGCTGAGAAGAATAGATTGAGGACGTAAGAGGGAGAAATTTTAAACATCACTTTCACTTTCACTTTTCCAGCACCTAAATGTCCTGCGTTAACAGCGCCAAATGGCGGCACCGTGAGCCCTGCCTCCTGCCTGGTCCAGGGAGAATATGGCGACCAGTGCCAATACCAGTGTCACGAGGGGTACCAACTGACAGGTGTCAGCAGTCACAGGTGCACGGAATTCAACACGTGGACAGCTCAAGACCAGACCGCCGTATGCACAGGTAGAATTAACGACTGTGTGGAATATAGATTATAAGATATATCCCATCTATAACTTCTAATGTAGAGATATAATTCATTTGTATCAAAACATGGCTATATTCCTTGGAAGTTTTCCGTTGCCATGGTAACGGACACCTTTTATTTGGACTGTACAAATGCATTTTCATTCGGTTTTTCCTTTTGTAAATATATATTAATACAGTTCTTTTGGGTGAATGTTTATACCATAAATGTTACATCACTGTAGTCTCTTAACTGATTACTACACGACAAAAGGATTTTCTTTAATTCCAGATGTCACCCCACCTGATTTTGGGGACACTTGTCCCGAGAGTGACCTCCATTTCTTCACCCCTCCCTGTGGGGACAGAGCGTCCGTGTTGTGGTCAGAGCCAGTGGCCACGGATAACTCCGGACAGCTGACCCTCAGCAAACCGACCTACACCTCTCCCTCTGTGTTAACTCCGGGAGACTACCCTCTGGTATACACTGCCCAGGACGCCGCCAATCTCCAGAAACAATGTCGATTTTCTTTGAGAATCCGATGTAAGTGCGAGTTCTACAAATGGGGGTTCTAATGGGGAGGGGGCACAAATAGTGAAATGTTCTACCGAGTTTCGCTTTACATGTATAAACTAGAAGACGAGAGCTTTTATTATGTATGGTCTGGAAATCTTAACCAAAGGTCGTGTTTTTTTTTTACAATAAGTTTTAATAACGACCTGCTTATTGTTTGGCAGTCATTAACAGTAGAATAGCAATTGGGGTTCCCAAAGTGATGTAGTAAGCCTCTTATTTATTAGTTAACTTACTACAGTGTATAAATAGTACTTGTATTATTATAGCTTATATGTTTCTGTCGTTCAGCTCCGTCGTGTCAGCCACCCCCAGACATAGCAGGTGCTGTGTTAGACTCAACCACGTGCAGCTTCAAATTTGGCTCCGTGATGACTTACCGATGCCAAGATGGCTACCGTCTCCAAGGCAACGCCACGTTGACATGTGGCAGGGAGGGTAACTGGGTGGGATCGGTTTCTTGTGCGGGTAAGACTAATATAACTTTTGTGTGTTCAAAATTGCTCAATATTCAATAAGATTAAATAAAAAGTGTCTTTAAAATGTTTGCCAATCCAGTCAGTTCACAAATATTTTATGTACTTAATTTTTTTCTTAATACATGTATCTGTTCAATGTTATATGCAAATGGACGAATTGCATTAAGAATGCGCAAAAGAAGTGTCAGTGTCTATTTTTGTTCTATTCAACTTGGAATAAGATTTACTTTGACATTTTTATAGTATATGGTTGACCTCAAAGAACCATTCCAGAATTAATTTGTCTGCCAATTGCCATGATGTCTGTCCATCTTCCTCACGTATAAAGTTTGTTCTTTTCGTGCGTATTTTTGGCTACCTGGTCTGAGATTTAGTTTTGTTCTCTTTTGGTTTCGTTTGTTTTATCACCCATGTCAAGTGCAACATGTCAGTCAAAATGTTATCTTCAACTAAAACTTTCTTCGATTTCAGCGATCACTTGCCCCAAATTATCCGCTGTGCCAAACGCAGTGACGTCACCGTCGTTATGCACGTCATCTTCCGTATTCTATGCCACCCAGTGTGACGTCACGTGTGAGCTAGGGTACCTGCTGAAGGGTCCTCGGAGTTTCACCTGTGGATCGGACGGTGCTTGGTCTAATCCAACAGGAGTGACGGAATGTGAAGGTAAAGTGTGGTGATATTATAGTCAATACCAATAGTAAGAAAAAGGTAGATTTTCTTCAAAAATCATATTAAATGACGTGGTCAGCCATTTAGTAGCCATTTTGGGGCAATTAACACTTGAGCTAAGAGAAAAAACAGCAACTAGTTTCACATCCAAAAATAGTAATATTACTATTTCAAGCAACCTGGCTAAGTTTCAAGCATTTATCTCAAAGCGAAACAGTTATTGGTCAACACTGGCTGTATTTTAAGTACGCAACCTATTCCAAATAGCTGGGTTTTGCTGTGCCCTGTATAAATAGGCCTTTCCTTGGAACATGATGGTGACATAGTTGTATTACTTTAAGCTAAGATCTAATAAACAGATCTGTTTATTAGATCTTAGCTTTAAGTAGGTGTTCAACCCACTATTTGAATGGGTAGAGACTACACACACTGGACAAAAGAAGTGTCACCCCTACTGAGCCAATACTATGGGGGAGATAAATGACTGTGGAATGATATGCCCTGGTATCATTTTATTAACGTCAAATTTCACAAAAAATCACAAAATGAGAACAAAATATACATTCTACCAAAATATGTAGTTTCAAGTCCAAAATTAGTACTTAGTGGCATAGCCACGTGACCTAATAATAGGTGCCAGTCTACGAAGCAAGGATTCATTTAATTGTCTGATGCGTTCAGGGCTTATGCTGGCCCAAGCATGAAACACTGAATATAACAGAGTTTCTCTGCTGGTTAGACGGGCATTTGTAAAAAGTTTTGACACATCATTCCACACATTTTCTATTATGTTTGTATCCGGACTCTGGGCAGGCCACATCACCCTGCGAATGTCCTGTTGGTCAAACCAATCATCAACTGCTCTGGGCCTGTGACAAGGAGCATTGTCATCCTGGTGCACAAATGGATAATTCCTGTCACCAAACATGTTAGTAATAGATGGTAGCAAGCCTGACTCCAAAACATCGATATATTTCTAGTGATTCATGTTTCCATTTACCACTATCAATTCGCCCAAGCCATGGATGCTGATGCAGCCCCACACCATGATGAATATGCTGCTCCGGGTTCGAAAATTCAGTGCATGTGGTACAAATGCTTTACCAGCAGTTTCCCAGCATAGTACCCGTCTGTCATCAGAGGTCAGACCAAAGCGACACTCATCAGAAAAAATATATAGGACCAATTGTCATGAACTATCCAGTTCCAGATCCTGTTGACCCTAGTTTACTCTACGTTGCCTGTTTTGTAACGATATAAGAGGTTTCAGTCTTGCTACCCTGCTTTACACTCTCTGAGCATGTAACCGACGCCTAGCAATTTCCACAGACACATTCTTGTGTGAAATTGTTCCACTGTGTTGTCAACTGACAAGCAGTGTCGAACTTTGACAGCCTAGACATCAAAATCAGTCGTCGGTCTTCACGGCCAGTATTTTTTCTTGGACGACCCATCAGAGGCAATTTGTCTCTCGATCCAGTGTTTCTATACCGAGACCAGACCCTCTGCACGGTTCTGACTGAACAATTCAATTGTATCGATATTCTGACATTGCTCATATTCCGCCTCTTCAGGTTAATAACTTGCACCTATAACCGTTAGTTAATTACCTGTATCTTGCCATACTGGAGGAAGACAGGAATAACATTTGCTGTACATGTACAAGACCAACAATACAATTCCATGGTATAGCGGTTTTATACTCATTAGTCACATTATAAGTAGACCAGGCATTATAAGTACCCAAGATCTACCTACTTTCATTACTCTGAGTTAGGGGGTGACACTTCTTTTGTCCAGTGTGTGTAGATTGGTTTAAATAGACGTGTTTTATTTTTGACAGCTATCCCGCCCCCAAACTTTAAAGATACCTGTCCTCGAGACACCATCGTCTCCACGTACGTCAATAAAGACTACACAGAGGTCACGTGGGGCGTGCCACGTGCTTTTGACAGTAAAGGTAAGGTTACAACATAGATGCCAAAGATCAATACAAGCACCGCTTTTTTATGTTGTTTATTTATTATTTATTGAAAAAAATATTTTGTAGATGTTCATATTTACAAATATTCCCTGTAATGGATTAACAGTGGTAAAGATAGAGGATTTTGGGAACAAATGGAAATGTTGACTTACAAATACCTCGGTTCCCGCAACGAATGTATAATTGTGAGAGAAATAATTGCTAAAAGTACCTTACTACCACTACAGTGATGTACTTGCTTATAATGCAGCTGTTCGTGATTTAAAGCATGCTGAAAATGCTGTTATATATAAAAGCAACTACTGTATCATGAACTAAAGTACCCGTATAGTTTAAAGCATATTAGGCAAATTGATTTGCAGTGTATGACAGTTGTTCATCTTAGACTCGTACCGTTTTCCATTTCAGGCAGGCAGTTATCCCTGACGGTCACTCCTTTGTTCGTGGTATCGGACACTGTGAGGTTAGGCGTGGGCAGTCATAGAATAACCTACACGGCCACAGACTCGTATGGACTGACGTCAACCTGCTCCTTCACAATCACTGTAAAAGGTGAACCGAATGAATTCCTATAATCTAAATGAATTTAAAAACTTAACATTCTAGTAATATGCGTTACTGAATCTAACTTAAGAAAGTAATGCCATTTTCCTCTTTTTTTAATAAATTACAACTGTGTATCTAATATTTTAATGTAGTTTAGGTTGCTACGTTTACATTGAGATACGATTTCCTTGCTTATTGATAGCCATTATTGTCCACTGATATCAAGTATGTCATTCGCATATGCATTAAACATTATTTTTAGAACATGCTATTTTTTATACAGACCAAGAAGCCCCGCGCCCCCTAGCGTGTCCGGATAACCAAATTTTCGAAGCCAGAGGCAGTGAGACAAATGTTCAGTTTGAGAGACCAGTGTTTGAAGATAACGTTGGTGTGATTACGTCATCCTGTGACCGTGAATGGGGGTCATTTCCGCTGGGCAGGTTCGAGGTCACGTGCACAGCACGTGATGCCGCGGGGAACACTGGGAAGTGTGTTATGGGCATCGCTGTTGTAGGTAGGATATTTTAGTAAATGGACATTTCTATGTTATATTTCATTTGAATGATACTTTTCCATCCTTTGTTAATATGAAAATGATTGGTTATATGTTTATTAAAAGTTCAACATTCTTCATATATCAAAATTAACCATCAGTTATTTACACTGCTATAGAAGACTTTTAGATTGAATGCCACTTGGAAGTATCGGTACTTAACTGTTTTATTATGCACAGTACTAATATAATATTACTGTATGCATTGTAAACTGACGTCAGATGCTCATCGTAAAAAAGTTGCAGTAATATATTATACAGTGATAAGCATCTGTATCATTAATATAACGAGCCCTGCACATTTTCGCTTCCTCAGCGCGCCGATGCCCCGACATACAACCTCCGATACATGGCGCCAAGGCCTGCAGCACCATCAAGTTCACTACTCTCTGCACTTTGCACTGCAATGATCAATACGAATTTCCGCCGTTTGCCTTCCCTCAACCTGCGTACACTTGTGGTATAGATAGTGGACAGTGGCTACCGCCTTTGCCTTTCTTGCCGTTCACCTGTGCAGCGCGGTTTTTACCAAACTTTGGAGAGGTCAACGGGCGTATACAGTTCCATGAGTACGAGGGAGACTGCGTGACGGCGGCTGCCACTGCTGAAATAAGGGCGGACTTTCAGAGTCTCTTGGAGCTTAGTATTTTTGCACAAGCTGGCCTTTGTGACGACGGGGCTTGCGAAGTCTCATCAGTGACGGTTGTATGTAATACTGCCACTGGATCCGGTTTCCCGGATTTTCCGGGAGATTTTGACTTTAGACGACGACGAAAGAGAGAGACAACACCTAGAACAAGAAGCAGCGTAAGCGTCGACTTTGTCATTCTTACTAATGCGACAAGCAAAATAAGCAACGATACAGACGTGACGTCCCTGAAGGAAAAATTGAATCTCCTGTCGAGTTCTGTACAAGAGTTTGTGGAGTCCGGCAATCTGACGTTAAACATCAGTGGCACTAGTTTGACAGCAGATCCCAAGCGGTCAGTAGTGTCGCCAACCCTTAAGTGTCGCCCTGGGGCCGTGAAAAGGGACACATACTGTGGTGGGTTTCCATGCCACTTTCTTCTTTTTATTAGAAATAATATTTTATTAGAAATGTATGCAATGTATTGGCCACTTTGTACATTGAACGAAGTATTTTTGAGCCATTCAATCAAAAAAAGATAAAGAATAAAGGGTTAAATTTGGTCGTATAAGCTTATTTCGAAATGGATCACCTCACACAATTAATAAACAAAAAGAGAAATTATTTTAGTTGTGTACAAAAAGAAATTGAATACAGCTAGTTCACACGTTTGCAAGTTATGGTATACATTTATAGTCATGTAATTTTTCTTAATTTCTTTAATTTTAATTTATGAAAAAATGAAAGTGGGACCATAACCAAAAGCATAATTCTCTTTCTCTCGCTTTCCCGCTCTCTCTCTCTCTCTCTCTCTCTCTCTCTCTCACACACACACACACACACACACAGAGAGAGAGGGAGAGAAAAGGTGCTATATACATTATAAGTTCCACAAACTTTCCCTTTGCCTCTTCCAGTCCAGTGTCCGGTGGGTACATACTATGACGTACAGCGGTCAGACTGTGTGGAGTGTCCAGTATCCAGCTACCAGGACCAGGAGGGGCAGTTAGAGTGTGTCCACTGTCCTGGTCAGATGACCACCAATGATGTAGGCTCCTATAACGCTTCCCTGTGTATAGGTATGTTCATATAAATAAACAGGTGAAAAGATATATTACATATATGTATAATATAATATAATATACTAAGAGGAAATGTGGTCAGTGTTGACGTCATTTGTTAAGACCCCATTGATGCATTATAAAGACCAGTGTCTTTTTGGGGTAACTGGAAAAACGTATCATTAAAAGCCATTTATGTGTAGTTTTGTGTATCGCGAAAAAGAAAAACGTAACATGTGGGAAACCTAACCTAAATGATTCATGAGTCGGTGGATTGGATTTTAAATTATGTTTAAGGTTGTTTTGAGAAGAACAAAATCATATTCCAGGAAAGATAGAGTTGATCACTTTCTTGGAAAAATACTTGTTGTGTGCGTGCGTGTGTTTATGTATATGTGCGTTTGCATGTTTATGTGTTTGTCTTTTAACACTGAAATTTTTGTTTGTGCGTCTGCGTTTGTGTGTTCGTGCATTTGTGTGTGTACATAAATGTCTGTGTGTATGTTTGTGCATTGGTGCGTTTACGTGTTTGTATTGCTGACAGGTAGCGCGAGATTAGACTCTTACCTATAACACACCCTCCCTCTCTATGATAGCCTAGGTACCACTATCTGTTATTTCATATTATATTCTAGAGCCCACAACCTATGACAATATTGTATTCCTCGGAAGCGTAGCTGCAGACAGGGACTGGGTGATTGCTAGTTTTACCAGCTCAGCTATTCTTCTCGTTGCCTCCATAGTGGCTACGTTTACCATTGGGTAGGTATCTTTTATCATTATGATTATTGTTTTATTTAATTTGCGTTTAATTATATGTATGTTATATACTAATTGATAAATTAATCTGTCCATAGCTATATTATTTTATTGTAAACAAACAGCAAAATATTTGTTTACTATATTCTTGTACAAATCTCAGTATTAATCGCATGAAACATAATTTGTATGATCCATGTTAAATGAAAATGAAAATAACAACAAAAATGCAAATTAGGGCAACGTAAAGTAGATCTAGGATTACATAATATGCATATAAATTTCACTAAATTGAAGATCATGTATAAAATTTTCACTCAATACAGATTTCGTGCAATTTTTTTCTGTATCATAATATATTAGTATAATTTTTAGATTTTAAAAGAAATATCATTTTCTTACAGATGGAGGAGGAGTCACGTGACTAAGGCATAAGCCAAACAAAGACAACTCTGCTACGATTGAATTGTGAACAAATAAAAAGAATACTCCACTGTAAAGACTAAAGTGAATTATAATACATATAGTCGACTTGATTCTCTTATTGTTTTATTTATTTATTTATTTAATTTGTTTGTTTGTTTATTTATTGAAAAACAAAAAGAGACTTCATTATATATATCATGCAAAACATTGATTGTTATATACATTAGAAATATGACGGCCACTGACAAATCAAAACATTACTATTCAGAGTAGCAGGCTGATAAAAATGTTTGGAGGAGGAGGGGACTGTTGTACTTTATAGCTGGACTTTGCGGGAACTTTAAAAAGATCCCCAAGAGATAAATTTTGAAAAATGTAAATAGTGCCCCTCCCCTCTCCCTTGCAGCCCACAACTGTTTGATGTTATAAAGCCTATTGTCTTAACTTTGTGATCGTGTTGATAATCTCGTATTCCTTTTTAACGCATTATTATTGTTATTGTTATAATTCGTTGTCATCTTTCGCCAGTATGGATGTCCACGTGTAATCTCGTTTTATTTTTTTACAACTAATGAAATTAAGGCTTCATGTTTAAAACAACAAATGAATAATTTTATAAATAAATTTACCATCAGTAACAAATTTGCCTTATTTGATGCAGAAAATAAAAAGAAAAAAAAAAGAAAAAATCAACGTCATGCCCCGTTAAACCCATAGTCGAAGAACAGGAGAGATTTTGTGCGCTAGTGACCTTGATTAATTTTATACTTGAGAGAGAAGCGAATCTATTTGTCTGTCTGTCCAAGCGCAGTCTTAATTAAGTAGGAGAAATTAATACAGCTTATCAGAGTTGTTACAAACGTATGATTAGAAAGGAACAGCTGTAAAATTTCTACCGGCGGGTCGTGGGAAGGGAGGGAGGGAGAGTGGAGTGAAATGTTTTGATTACAATCAGTATTTGCTGCTTATACGTGTAGTGTATAAACAGGCCCGTAGCCAGCAATTTCAAAAGGGGGGTTCTTTTTCTGAAAAAGTGGACCTTTTCCCATGAAAACTTTATGTACCTAGATCAAATTTTACCCAGAGTGGACCTTTTCCCAGCAAAAGGGGCGGTTCTTTCGAACCCCCCGAACCCCCCCTGGCTACGGGCCTGATAAATATCCCTCATACAAAGCGGTGCTGTAAAAAACTGTGAACAAAAATATTGTTTTTAAACAGTTGAAATACCGTAATACATTTCTTTGATTAGTTATGAATCACTCAAAGCCTTTTCCTGTATTTGTAATCCAGTAGAGGTTCTCAGCATTCTGTTCATTATATTATCTCTCTCAAGAAGGTTCTTATCTATATCTTTTATGTTCATAGACTAATAGTTCGAAAAAGTCTGATCATCATATTTCTTTCAAGCAGCTAGGTTTTTTATTTATCGTGGGCTAGGTTATAGAATGTTTTCTTTCCAAGAAAAGCCTAACCCTATATAGCACGGTTTGACAGAACAACCACAAAAAAAAAAAAAAAAAAAAAAAACCGCGGCATTTTGCTATATGTAATTATATCAGCAAACATTCGAAAACGTCACGTAATATAAGCGCAGCGTGGGGAGATTTATAGCTACTATCAGTGACGCACACGCTTCAGGCGCAACTGTGTTTTTCTTCCTCACTTTTTTTTGCCTGGTTCTAGTTGTGCCCGTACATTTCTGTTCCTTCCACTCATAGTGGTGTGTCTTTTTCCTTTAAACAAGGATGCGCTATGCGACTGTGAGTATTCTTGTCACGCAATTGCGCGCTAGCATTTTTGGCTACAATACAGAAATGAATTGGATTGCCTATTACACTGTAAGATATTCTATATCTTGATTGTTTTTAATTCCTGAAAGAAAATTGGCATAAACAATCAGAGCACTCACACCCACCCACACACAGAGGAGACAGAGACATACAGAGAGGGCGTGTTTTTATACAAGAAATGAGTTATCGACATATAATAGATACTTTATCATACCAGGGAATACCAACCTAATATGAATACCAATGAACATGTTTTAATCAGATTTTTGTCTAGCTTTACACAAAGTAAATTCGACACTATGGATAGCTTTGCTGAAAGATAATACGTGAGTCTTACCCTGTAGACCAGACAAACCGCTTCATGCAGGTGTATTAATCAAGCAAACACATCATATTTTTAAAATCTATTATTAAAATATGCTTAACTGATATATGGACTGTAAGGAAGGAAAAATAAGTCACAAAAATCTGACCCCCCCCCCCAGGCCTTGGTTGTCCTATACTCTGTCCAGGTACACAAACCGCTTAAAAATTACATAACGATTCATGACAAAGTCCACTAAATGTCCATACAAATATATATTGATTCAAAGTTAATACATTAATACCAAAGCTAGTAGTTTGCTGTGTGTGTGAACCAGGAAGCAAATGTAAGAAAGTCTATAAGTCTGTCACTTGTTTCCTTGGATCAATGTCATCGAACCTGTTTTTAAATTCAAACGAACCTATTGAAAAAAAAAAGGAATGTATAGTATTACGGAATATTGAAGTTAAATGCCATTAAAGAATTGATTTGGGTGAGACAGGTCTAACTGTGACTCACCATCCACACCTGAATATGCTAGCGAGCACCCTGAGGGTCAGGGAGAGGATGGTGACTCTTTATTTTGCCAGCATACCATTGCTGACAACAGCCAGAGAGTACCAGAGCTAAATATATCCCTCTCAGCAAATTATCAACAAACTCCTATAGAGCGCCTGCGTTTTAGACTTTACAAACCGTTTTTATGCATTTATTCGTCCAAGTGCGAAACCAGGTATTTACTTAGTAGAGGTGGGGGCTGGGGAGGAAAGGGGTGTTGGCACAAGTCATAAATATGAAACAGCAGACGAGGAAAGTTTCACTGTGTTAATATGCAGGTCACGGGTTGGGAAAATTGCTTGGTTTCGTTTCGTATTGCTTGTTATAATACAAGAAGTGTTGTTTAAAAAGACTGTGGGGAATACTGATCCCGTGCTAAGGGGGGGGGGGATAGATCCAGTGAATTCTTCACTTGATCAGCTATCCCTGTCACACCTGTGAAACATCCAAACAAAGCGTGGCGACGCTCCTATATATTGTCATAGTCAGCGCACGCCTGGCACGTTAGCGGTCACCTTGGGGTTCAACGTGACCGCCGTGTCTATCTCCTGATTTAACATTAGGTTACCGCCACCATGCGATTTAGTCACGACATCTGTCATTTCTGTCTCTCCTCTACATATAGATCAACGCCAGCCGTTCACCTTGCCTGTCATGGCTCCTGTTTCTCGATATTAGCACATGATTAACGTTACCCTGGGTTTCCGATCATTTCTGTACTACATGGTTGTCGTGATCCAGACAACAGTGCTTTCATGATAACGCTCCTATATGTACACAAGTGGCTGCAGTTTCAGACCTCTCGCGGCTTTACTTTATGATTGCAGCTACTCTGAGTTGTAGATCAGTAACAGCAACATGTCTTTAGGACGTACCATACTTTGTTCCTTCTGTATTCGTTACCCTTAGTTTCATCATATATTCATCATGTAGCACGGGATTACTGTCACCCTGGACTTAATAGAACTCTTAAAAGGGCACTTTTTATACAGGAAAATCCTCTGTTTAGATCACCCTGAGATTGTCACCCTGGGTGTGAGAGCCCTAGGGACCATTCCCAGACACTATCGTACTAACTGTGGATCAATCTATCTCCGAGTGGATTTTCGCTAAATTGCAATCCACTAAAGCGGCTTAGATGTCTGGCACGCCTACTGAGGCTACTAGGGGATAATTAACTATCGTTAAACAGCTTTGATTAGTAGGCGTCCCAGACATCTAAGCCACTTAAGCTGAAAGCAATTTAGCAAGAAACCCCTCGGAGATAGATCGATCCTGTTAGATGAATCTAGGTATGGGAATCCAGTCCTAGTGATGACTGCCGTTTACATGGCGGCTATATTTTTAACATGTCCACCCGGAATGTGACAGGACTGATGTGTGCGGGCATGATATAAGTGGGATGTGATGATATTGAAGGCACTGCCACAAGAAGGAGAAACATCTTCAGCAAAAGTCCATTTAATTCAAATATATAGACATTAACTCATAGAATCTTACCACAGACACAAAGAAGTGCAGACTTTCAGCTTTACAAATCGGCACTGTATTTCTTTTTTTTTCTTTTTTTTTTTTTTTTGAGAGTATTGCCAACACTTATAATAAAGCTTATTGTAAAGGGCAGGACATCCCTGTTCCAGTCAATTCTCTCCTCAGGAAAATAAATAACGAGATTCTAAGCAGACAACAGGACTTTAATATTTTGAGATGCCAAATCCCTCCTAACTTATCGAGAACAATCCTTAGGAACTATATTCCTGGGCGGAAGAAATGGCGCCTTGAGGTAATGTGTGGTGCGGTGACCTTCTCAGCCAATCAGATTTGAGGATGCAAAAGGTATCATCTGTCATCACACGGTAAACATTCCACTTAATCACAAATTTCCACAGATCTAAATCCGGTTACGTTGTTGCAGTCAAGGACATATAGATCAAGTCATTTTACTTTATTGTAACTGAAAGGCAGAGACATTCAAAATTCTTCGTAGACGAAAAATACAAATATTTTAATTATTCGGTGGTTTTAAAGGAAAACCGCGTAAGCGTCTGCTTCCTTGGAGTGATGGGAAGAGCAGTTATTATACTATGCATCTGTACCCTTAATGCTGTGTTTGGTAAGCTTAATATTTGTTTCATTTATACACACATGCACGGATAAAAAGTAAAATATCACGTGACAACGGTGAAAAATCTTAAAATGGTGTATTTCTAATTCCAAATACTCAACGCATAGAAAATAATTTCCTCATTTTATAACCACTGCACAATGGGTATAATATCCGTAGAAATAATTAAAACAAATATTTTGTTGTTTATATTCTATTCTCCTTTTATGTAAAGCAGTATAACCATCAGCATACTTGTAGAATTGTACATTTATGAGCTATGATAATAAATACCTTTGATCTGTACATTTTATTTTTAAGTTCAATCATCAGCCGGGCACTGCCCACCGCTGTCTCGTGGGGTAGGCTATGCCACGGACTGCTTGACCAGCAATGGACAGCCATTCTCCCAAGCTATGCTGAAGGGGAAAGCTTTCAAACCGGGCTCCGTGTGCCAATTCCGATGTCTCAACGGTGACATGTTTGAGCGCACTTGTCTACCTGATCTTAGCTGGGATGGTCTTGACCCGTGTACAGGTAAATCTCACCTGTGTTTACATACTCACCTGTGTTGGCACAATATCAGCGCTCTTGTCTTTACTTTTCCTATCATTATCGCTTCATTCGGTTTCGATGATGTCCTCATTTTTATTTTCTACTCAACACATGAAAACCTAATCACTTGCATATCACTGCACATTATAATATTTGTATTGGTTTGTTAATCTTCTACTTCTGTTGTAATTAGAGAACGTATATGCTTTTAGAGAACCCTTGCCTTAAATATCAGGGCTGGAGGGCACCCAGCCTACCCCCCCCCCCTTCGTCCTTCATGAGATTTGGGATTCAGAAATTAGAAATTATTTCTGAATTGGATCCCGTATATTGCGGCTGTAAATTCAGGGGCGTATTTAGGTCGTCTTCTGGGTCTTCCGGAAGACGGTCAGATTTTCAAGTTTACATTGACGGGTATCTTATTTTTTCGGTCGGAAGACGGTCAAAAATGAACAATGGATCAACAAAGATAATTTGGTAAGATACTGTCAGAAAATATCTCTGAATCCGCCCCTGAAATTGATTGCAACATTATCTTTTTGAAAAAATGTCGTAGGCTCTCCCACTGTTTTATTCTTAAGTTCGCGATAATAATCTGTTATCTATTTTACCTGTTGAATAGCGTTCGCGGTAGGCCTATGGCGAAAATACATGTACTATCATGTTCTATATTATCGGAAGCGGAACAAAAACGAGACGTGGTTAAAACTAAAAACTAAAAAAAATCTCGAAGGATAAAAAAAACTTTTGCTACTAAAATCATTTTTAAAAAAATACTTTAAAAGATTACATGTCCGTCTTCTTGGGTGATATAGGTGCTTTTCTTTTGTTTCCAAAGAATGGATCAGTTTTAATGAAATAACCAAACCAACAGTTCTTAGAAATATTGTTTTGTTGATCTCAGTAGTTTCTACTTACTCATCACTTGCAAAATAAATGAATAAGAAAAGGGCGAATGTCCAATATATAATTAAGGCATTCCACATTAAGGCATAAGACACAAGTACCTGTACAGATACTGATACATGTAGGCCTATGTAAAGTGCAAAATGTTTAGGAAAAGGTAAAGAGAAAAAGAATGATTAATATTTTCTTATGTCATAGGCCCGTTTTTACCCAAAATTTTCCGGAAATCCCGTTAACCGACAATACAGGTACAAGGTGCTTTCGTATTCTTTGTTTCCTTCATTTTTTATAGCCCCGGGAATAAAATACGATCTACTGAGTCAGAAGCAACACGATCTCCTCGCCATCTATCGGCTGCGCCGCAAACGAGACTTAAAGGACTTCCTTGGCCAGGCAAGCAGCGTGGTTAACAAGACCCAGAGCGGTTTAAGCGACTTCAGTAGCGCCTTGGACAAAGCCCAGAGTCAGGCAGAGAAGTTGGGCAATGGTATGTGCACAGTTTAGATACTATATCGCTACTTAAAGTGCGTCAGTATACGGGGTAATGTTAACCATTATATCATTACAGCTACGTNAGAAAATAATTTCCTCATTTTATAACCACTGCACAATGGGTATAATATCCGTAGAAATAATTAAAACAAATATTTTGTTGTTTATATTCTATTCTCCTTTTATGTAAAGCAGTATAACCATCAGCATACTTGTAGAATTGTACATTTATGAGCTATGATAATAAATACCTTTGATCTGTACATTTTATTTTTAAGTTCAATCATCAGCCGGGCACTGCCCACCGCTGTCTCGTGGGGTAGGCTATGCCACGGACTGCTTGACCAGCAATGGACAGCCATTCTCCCAAGCTATGCTGAAGGGGAAAGCTTTCAAACCGGGCTCCGTGTGCCAATTCCGATGTCTCAACGGTGACATGTTTGAGCGCACTTGTCTACCTGATCTTAGCTGGGATGGTCTTGACCCGTGTACAGGTAAATCTCACCTGTGTTTACATACTCACCTGTGTTGGCACAATATCAGCGCTCTTGTCTTTACTTTTCCTATCATTATCGCTTCATTCGGTTTCGATGATGTCCTCATTTTTATTTTCTACTCAACACATGAAAACCTAATCACTTGCATATCACTGCACATTATAATATTTGTATTGGTTTGTTAATCTTCTACTTCTGTTGTAATTAGAGAACGTATATGCTTTTAGAGAACCCTTGCCTTAAATATCAGGGCTGGAGGGCACCCAGCCTACCCCCCCCCCCTTCGTCCTTCATGAGATTTGGGATTCAGAAATTAGAAATTATTTCTGAATTGGATCCCGTATATTGCGGCTGTAAATTCAGGGGCGTATTTAGGTCGTCTTCTGGGTCTTCCGGAAGACGGTCAGATTTTCAAGTTTACATTGACGGGTATCTTATTTTTTCGGTCGGAAGACGGTCAAAAATGAACAATGGATCAACAAAGATAATTTGGTAAGATACTGTCAGAAAATATCTCTGAATCCGCCCCTGAAATTGATTGCAACATTATCTTTTTGAAAAAATGTCGTAGGCTCTCCCACTGTTTTATTCTTAAGTTCGCGATAATAATCTGTTATCTATTTTACCTGTTGAATAGCGTTCGCGGTAGGCCTATGGCGAAAATACATGTACTATCATGTTCTATATTATCGGAAGCGGAACAAAAACGAGACGTGGTTAAAACTAAAAACTAAAAAAAATCTCGAAGGATAAAAAAAACTTTTGCTACTAAAATCATTTTTAAAAAAATACTTTAAAAGATTACATGTCCGTCTTCTTGGGTGATATAGGTGCTTTTCTTTTGTTTCCAAAGAATGGATCAGTTTTAATGAAATAACCAAACCAACAGTTCTTAGAAATATTGTTTTGTTGATCTCAGTAGTTTCTACTTACTCATCACTTGCAAAATAAATGAATAAGAAAAGGGCGAATGTCCAATATATAATTAAGGCATTCCACATTAAGGCATAAGACACAAGTACCTGTACAGATACTGATACATGTAGGCCTATGTAAAGTGCAAAATGTTTAGGAAAAGGTAAAGAGAAAAAGAATGATTAATATTTTCTTATGTCATAGGCCCGTTTTTACCCAAAATTTTCCGGAAATCCCGTTAACCGACAATACAGGTACAAGGTGCTTTCGTATTCTTTGTTTCCTTCATTTTTTATAGCCCCGGGAATAAAATACGATCTACTGAGTCAGAAGCAACACGATCTCCTCGCCATCTATCGGCTGCGCCGCAAACGAGACTTAAAGGACTTCCTTGGCCAGGCAAGCAGCGTGGTTAACAAGACCCAGAGCGGTTTAAGCGACTTCAGTAGCGCCTTGGACAAAGCCCAGAGTCAGGCAGAGAAGTTGGGCAATGGTATGTGCACAGTTTAGATACTATATCGCTACTTAAAGTGCGTCAGTATACGGGGTAATATTAACCATTATATCATTACAGCTACGTAAATTTCGCTGCAGGCAGGGTAATTGGCACGCTGAGTGATCAGAGGTTCGTGGACACTCACCATCACTAACTGTTTCCATAAAATTACCCACTGTTGTCAGACAACTTCAAACACTCGTGATCCTTAAAATCGGTTGTGTAAATTAAATTGCAATTAATTGATAAAATTAATCGCTGCTTCTTAATTGATATTAACTGGGAATCTGACACGAGTTCATTAATTAATGAAGCAATTAGTTCACGATTTTTAATGTAGTAGGCCCGTTTCAAGATGACACAGGAATTTATTTGTGATGTCTGTGTGTGTAATGTTTTAAAAAAAATATATATATATATATAAATTGATGAATTAATTTAAGTTTTTCATTTTTTATATTATGAGCAGTGGTTGGAAAGATTAGCCCAAGTCTAGGTAACAGTATCAGTCAAGGAGCCGGCAATGTCATCAATAAAGTACAAGAAGGTAAGATTTAGAAATAATATGATCAAAGTTTTCAGCTGTCTATTATTAACTTTAAAGAATGTTTATTATGACATGCCCTGAAAGACACGTAAATTAACTAGTTGATAGATTAATAAATTAATAAATGAACATATAGATAAAAAAGGTGATTTTTTTAAAAAGTAAAGAAGGAATGGGACTACAAGTAAATAGGTTTGATTATACATTTGAATATATAAACAAAAAGGACTTGGTTCAAATAAAAGGTTATGCACTGGACTCAGATCATTAAGTGAATGGAGTCTTGAAATGTATAAACTCTACACTGTGAGTACTTAAATTACCCCTTAGTAAAGGCATTCACCTTATTTTTTTCACTAGTTGAATTTCAAACCATCCTATTGGTGTTAGCATTTAAAAATACTGCTGCTATTTTTCTCAAAAATATTTTATCAGCTAACACTTGGTCTTAACTTCTTAGAAAACCAACTGACACTTGCATTGTTAGCTACACAGAACAATGCAAGCAGCTGAGACAGGGTATATTTATATAGTGATAAAGGTAAGACATTGACAGGTGACACTGTGTTCTATGTTGTCAGGTGTAAACCAGGTGAGTCAAGTGGTGGATCAGGTGGGAGGAGCTGTCAACAACATCAATCAGGCTGTGAATGGTATGGTAGTCTTGATTCTTTTCATTTTTATTAACCATCTTTCTCTTTCTCTCCGATCCCCATCTCTCTATCTCCTGTTTTGATTTTTCCTGTTTTTTCCCTCCCTTATTTTCTTCCTTGAAGTTCTCTGCCCCCTTTCTTTTGTTCATTCTTTCTTTCTTTTGTCTTTTCTTTTTCTAAGCATGAGGTGATGTATAAAGATGGCAATTTGAATTATTTTGGATTTTCGAGATATATTCTTAATAACATAACTGATTAAGTTTGATTGATTGTGCCAAAACAAATAATTATTTCTTTATCATTACGGACTAACATTAAAAAAGGTTCATATTAACCAGTTGGTTTTTTTTTACACATATTTATACAAGTTTTATATATAGTACCCATTTGCCCTTTTTTTTGTTAATTTAATACATATCTGCCTGTCATTTTTTCCAGGAAATGGCAAAACAGGAAACCAAGCTGTTGATACTCTTGGTGCTGTTAACAGCATTGTGCAGTCTGTACCAGGTAGGTTGTTATAGGGGCACACAATCAGTCCCAAACTTTAAACAATGTAAATTAATAGTGAACAAAAATTGGTTACTTTTTTGTTATTTGTTTGAAGATTGCATATGTAGGTTTTTAACTTGCCTTTTTTTTTTAAAGTCAGAAACATTTTGTGTAATATCTTGGACTGGATTATATAGTTTTTTCTAGCTGTACAAATCAGTTGATATGCAGACCGAACAATGCAGTCAAAGGTAGTCCAGATGATTCTAAAATAATTGTACTCACTTCACTTTTGAGTAATTTTCTTTGATTTTTGTGGGAATCATAATTTAGACTAAATTTTATTGCTACCCAACTTAGCAATTGGACAAAGTAAGTTTGGCTCTGCGTTGGGTGGAGCAGCCCAGGGCGCTATGGCGGGGTTCCAAATTGGAGGACCATGGGGTGCGCTTATAGGGGGCGCTCTTGGACTGCTAGGAGGTCTGTTCGGGGGGAGCAGCAGACAGTCAGTGAAAGTAATCAAGGAGGAACGAGGTATGGTATGAATAAAAGCAACAATTTTGTGAAAAGATAAATTTATGGAACTTTATCAAATATCCATAACTTTGTACAATTTTTTTCAAAAAATATCTTATTCCATTTTATTAAGATACATGACCTGCATATGAAGTGAATTGGTTATCAACAAAGTGTACATTTATAGTTCAGCACTTCTTTGGCAAAACATTAATAAAACATTTCAAGACTGAATACCATTCATAATATATATATATATATATATATATATATATATATATATATATATATATATATATATATATATATTTTATTTTTATTTTTACATGAACTATCCCGTTATAGACAAATGTCCAACAGTGAAAGAAACCTGTCAGAATATTTCCAATCTATTGAATTACTTCATATCATGTATATAACATACACTTTATCAATATTTTGTATTTCAACTTTTATAAAACAAAGCTCCATTAGTACACATATATTTATTATATTAATATATATTATTTGATATTAAACTGTTTTATTAAAGACAAGGTTCCACCAGTGGTAGAATGTCCACCAGAGAATATTGTGGTTCTTGCTGACCGAGGGGAGACCACAGCTGTAGTGGACCAAACAAATGCTCCAAACTGGATTGATCCACCTATAGCACAAGGTAAGGGAGAATACCTTTTTTATTTTTAGTCAAATTGTAAAACAATTTTAGCCAACTTGAAATGAAATTGAATTTTTTTCTGGCAGTATTTTATAGCCGTGTGTGTGAGTATGTGTGTGTGTGTGCGTGTGTGTGTGTGTGTGTGCATGTGTGTGTGTGGGTGCATTCTGTTAGTCCATATTTATGCATTATTCCTTATATTATGAGCCCAAATATGGCAGAACATTCTCTATTTTTATTATATTTTTTTAGAAAGCCAAGAAAAAGTTGGCTGTTGTAACACATAATCAAGTAATCCTCACTTGAGTTGAGCTAGATTTAAATACTGTCATGTACAGTACCATATATCTGTGTTGGATGAGTTTTGATATTTTACGATATGAGCAGTAGAGTGTTACACATGATATGAAAGACAGTCTCCTCCATTACAGACAACCAAGTGAAAGACGGTATTCCTGCGACGTTAATTGGTATGAAACCTGGCTCTGCATTTCCCGCTGGCACCACACAGCAGGCGTACTTTGTGTCAGACCCGGCAGGGAACACTGACCAGTGTACCTTCTCTATAACTGTCATAGGTAGGATTTTAGGATGGACAGCTAACAGACCACTAGTTTTATTTCACTGTGTTAACAATTAAAGAGACACATCTACAGGGGTTTGACACTCTAAAAATTATTGAAATAACTTGCAGTCCTACAGTATATTTTATAATAATGTATGTAATGTTATTATTTTAAAAAGATCAAGATTACTTGGGCAACCTTATAGTTGGTATGCTAAAATGAATATATATGTATAATGTAAAAAACACTGTATAATGACTGTGTTAAATGCTGTACAGTGTAACTGTGTTTCTGAAACGACTTAATAGTTTGCATAATAATGAAGGCAATAGTGATAATGATACTAATAAAGGTAATAATGAATTCTATAATGATAATATATCATAGTATAATATTGCTATAATTATTTAAATTATACTGAGTTGTATAAATATAAACAATGTATTTAACAGTACCCAGGTGTGGTCCTCTTGGCCCCACCAACTATGGCACCTGGTGGTGTCCCAAAGGAGATATAGGTGGCGCCAGATGCAAGATAACCTGTCTGCCAGGATTTGAAGTACGCGGAGCTCAGGAACAGACTTGTGAAGGGAATGGTGATGACACAGGCACATGGACAGGAGGACCGACCGAATGTGTTGGTAATGTAGACTGTGTATTATTTTAATGATTATTAGTTAAACTTATGAGTGAGTACTTGTAATGTCACATACCAATTTTTCATCATTTCTTGTGAAAGTAGGGTAAAACATGAATTGTTTCTAAAGAGATTAAATGAGTCTTTTACCCATGAGATATAACTTTTTGACCCTTTCTGAGAAAGCCTTGATTGTTTGATATAATGTATAAGATAACTGATTATGGCACACTTCAGAGGGGGGGGGGGGGGGGGGCTGAGCACAGCCTTCTGTAATATTGTAATCTCTATTACAGCCCGACAGTGTGAGTCTCTCACAGAGCCTCCTAATGTGAATTTACAGTGTACATGGAACTACACCTACAACTAATATTGTAATCTCTCTTACAGCGCGGCAGTGTCAGTCCCTTACAGAGCCTCCTAATGTAAAGTTACAGTGTACAGGGAACTACACCTACAACTCTGCCTGTGCCTATGGCTGTGAGAAGGGGTACGGACCCACCACGGGGGCACTGACCATTAGAATTTGTACAGTAGATGCTCTCGGTCAGATGTTATGGACAGGGTCTGAAGGGACTTGTAAAGGTAGGATCAGGATTTTTGGTCTGTAAACATATGTATTCTGAACTGTCCAGCAAGTGGATTTCAAAAAGGATATTTGATAAAGGATTATTTTTTCTTTTCTTATTTTTTTTATTTGTGAGTTCTTGGACATTTATAGTGGTGTTCAAAGATTTTAGGTTTTTTACAAATCTCTACATGTTTAATTGTTGACTAAAAAATGGCTTATTTTCAAAATTAACTTTATGATAAATCATTTAAATAATTTTTTTGATTACACTCAACTCTTCAAACATGCAGACAATTGATATTTGAAACAGATCTAATTCTATGATTTCTAGTTACTGAATCCTCTAAGTTATATTGTGAAGCTTTGTGTGTGTTTTTCCCCCAGACATTATTTGGGATGCTGCTGATCTACCACATCTGACTTGTTTACCTGTTGAAGAGTAACATAATGGTATAAGTCTCTTATTTCTAGACATTGAGCCTCCTAAGCTACAGTGTCCAGTGGGGGTCATCACCAAATATCCAGGCAAGGGAACAACAAAGGCCTACATAACATGGCCATCTATAAACGCCACAGATAACTCAGGGGAGGTGGTGTCGCCAGTCCTGATGACGGTGAATTTCCCACCAAATCGTAAATATGATGAGGGATATTATGACATCAGATATGCGGCCACTGACTCTCAGGGGAACAGGGCATCATGTGTTTTCTCTGTACGTGTGGCTGGTAAGTACCCATACCTCCAGAGAATAAAAATTTCCATGATGACCATTTGTTAATTAATTAATTAATTAAGTTTGTATATATATTTATTTATTTGTGTATTTATTTATTTATATAATGATGTAATGACATGAGCTATATTCTGTTATTTTTTATAATTTCAAATTATTAATTTGTTATCAATTTACTTAATATTTCACATTTTGTTTTTGAGCCTTTAATAATAATAACTTACCCTTTCTAATTAACATTTATTATGATTATAATTATTATTGTAAATCAGTATTAGTGACATGTCCTTAACTTGACATCAGTGAAGTTTCTTAGGCTGAAATTATTGTTATTAGTGATACAATAGAGAAAATAATGTATAGTAATGTAACTAGAGAACTCATAGCAGCTCATCATTGATGAACCAGATATTTAAAATCCTGATCTTATTTTTCCATAATATTTGCTTTTCAGTAATCTACTGCAGACGACTTACCAACCTTCCTCTGGGACGTATTGATTGTACTGGTCTGAACTATGGCTCCACCTGTAGTTTTAGCTGTGGTCTAGGGTACGCTTTAACAGGTAGCAACAGGACTGAATGTGATATGAACCCTGATGCTGATGAAGTAGACATACAGAGAGGACTGTGGACACACAGCATGCCTTCATGCAACTGTAAGCCACCTTTCAAAGTTAAATTTGAGAACTATTTGATGAATTTTTGCTGTTTTAAATCTTATGTTGAAACTAGTGTAAGTGTTTGAAAGGTATGCTTGAAAGTTTTAAAAGAATTAAAGAAGATAAAAGGGCATTGTTGCTCACAAATTTCCCCTTCATGTGAGAGCTGCAGTTCTTATTTGGAACACCAGCATACAGACAATTGATTGTAACAAATGAAGAAATGAAAGGGGTAATTGTCTTGAATAGATTAAAAAGTACAGTTGTTTCTAAATAGAATAAATGTATCTTGTACTGATGTGTCTTGACCTTACATCAAAATACGTTTTAAAGTCTTAATTAATATGTGAATTAAGTCTCTTTTTTATCATCATGACACAGAATACAATCATGGAAAACACATTTATAAATGAATAAAGTAATAAATAAACATAAGAAAACTCTAATAAAGGAACATCACTGAGGAAAACCTCACCTATTCCAGCTCTCACCTGTCCTGCCATTCCATCTCCCCAACATGGCGCCACAGTGGATGACTGTTCTGCTAAACAGTTTGGTGAATTCTGCAGCTTCACTTGTGACCAGGGCTACGACCTGATGGGGACATCGTCCAGGAGATGTCTGGCTAGGATGGACGCCAGAGGGCGCTCACAGTCGTACTGGGATGGCGTGGACAGCACATGTGACGGTGGGTGATTGGCTCCATGGTATCAGTCAGGATACATGATGATATACCAGGGAATGGCTTCACAGATAATATTTAGACTGATAGTTGCTGTTAATTTATGAATGTTGTTTTTCAGCTATTTTGACCCAATATAAGTCAACATAGTTGTTTATTCAGATACAGTTGTGCATCTATTTTAAGAAGAAAATGTTATTGTGTTGGGCCAGACAATCAATTGCTTTGTTGTAGAAGACATTTAGGGACTGAAAATTAAAAACAATATTGTGATATTAGAATTGTAAATCAAATATGGCAGTAACTTTTATTGGGTAATAAAAAATCCCAGATAGATGTTTAATATTACAGTAATTTTTTAATTTATCAAGTTCAACCATATTTTAGTCCGAACCTGCAAGACCCTGTATCCCCCGACCCATGGTCAGAACACATCCCACTGCCCCCGCCGTCCACTCTACCAGACCCAGTGTGGGTTTAAGTGTGACCGCGGGTTCAGAATGCTAGGGGAACCCATTAACACCTGTCTTAACACTGGGAGGTGGAAGTTCTCAGAACCAACTTGTAGAGGTACAGTATAAATATTTCAGTGTATACATGTAAGTACGTACTTATAATTACAATATAATGCTGGTCTTAGTCCTTGTATAAAGTAGAACAGATCATTGGACTTATTATAGTCAGAGAAATTCTGCTGCTTTTCTGTAACAATTAAAGTCCAAACCCCAAAATAGTGATATAATATAATATATAAATTCTGATGGTGTTCAGAATCCAAAATTCCTAATATGTTCAATACACTTCACATCACAAAGACATCTTAATAGCTAAAGATATAAAGTAAAGTATTAGCCATGTCTGGGTCATGCTATAGAATAAGATGAATTTCACATATTCATGCTGATGCCAGTTATTCAATACGCGGAGTTCTTACAGAGTATAGTTCAGTTTCACAATTAGAAAAAAGCGTAGTATGGAGTGACAGTGACTCCTATAATTTCAGCCAAGCTGTGTGACTCCTCTCTGCTGCCTGCACCACAGAATGGCTACAAGAGTGGCTGTCCTCACACCAAGGAGACGGTGGGTACTGTATGTACCCTCCACTGTGACCAGGGCTATCAACCCACACTGCCACGCAGAGTGACCTGTGTGGACAGCGGTCAAGAAGTTGGACAGTGGAGCAACAGCTCCTTTGATTGTAGACGTAAGAAGTATTGGATTTTTGTGACATTTTGGTAACCTTTTACCAGCTAGTGTGTTCCATTTACCAGTAGTGGGGACAATTTTTAACATTCTGAATCACTGTTATTATCTTTGCCAACAAAAGAATTTAAGCTGAAAGCCCCAGTTTTTGCAACATTTAGACAAACTTTCTGATGCACAGTAAAATCATCTACAACTGTAGGACATCCCACACAAGTCTGCACCTGTGCCATATTTTATAGGCACATGAAGGAGAAAGAAAGCCAAAATATGTACTAGTTACTCCATGCACATATTTATTATTTTGTGTGTACTTCTTTTCTTTCTATGAGAAAAAATGTCAATACTATCAATACTACTGTCAATACTATCCAACCACTGAGGGTTCTTCTGTTCAACTCCCCTGCATTCAGTGAGTGTGTTTTTAATTAGTCTAAGAGAAGATTCAGATCCACTATATATTCATATGTAACACCTTACTTCCAGCAATTCAGTGCCCCGCCCCTACCATAGCTGGCAATGGCACAGTTCAGAGGTGTTTATATCAAGGCTATCAGACGGATGTGTCGTCTCCTCAGAGGTATGGCACCACGTGTACCTTCCAGTGTGCCAGAGGATACACAGGGATTGGGGTCATGGCACAGGCATGTCAAGCCACAGGGAAGTGGGATTCCAGCCAGGCACAGTGTAAAGGTACAGGACAGTAACTGTTAATTTGTGAAGGTTGACTACTAATCTATTGCGTCATTGTGGGTCAGATGGACAAGAGACTTTTGTCTTTATGCTAAAACCAAATATTGGTCTTAAGTTCTTTTCTGGAATATGACTCACATTATTTATATCTAGGTCTTTTTAAAATCTTTTCAGACCCCTGTAACACCTTTTAGCACACCCCCAGCCAGTGGTGTAAATTCATGAGGTGACCCCAGCCTTTTTGAATTTTTAAGCTTTATGATCAGTGTAATGTTAATATTTCATTTTCATTTCCTGCCACCAGATGTCACCCCGCCCCAGTTAGAGTGTCCCACAGACCGCGTGTTGTTTGCAGAGGCTGGTAGGAGAGATGTGGTGCTGAACTGGGACTGGGAACCTATATGGGTAAATGCCTTTCCATTGCCCTTATATTTAATAGAATTGTTTATCAAATAAACATTAAATAAACACAGTACATAGTACTCTCTCTCTCTCTCTCTCTCTCTCTCTGTCTCTCTCAATTATCAATTAATTTTGGTTACTTAAATTAAGTTTGGCTTCAGAAGAGACTCATAACATAATTAAGTTTGGCTTCAGAAGAGACTCATAACATAATCTATTTAATCTTATCATTTCAGGCTAAAGATGGAGACAGTCGTATCCCTGCAGTGTTGGTAGAGATCAATTCACAGTCCATCTCTGGAGTAAAACCCCAGCTGTTGTCAGAGGGAGACCACGTCTTCACCTACCAGGTCACTGATGGTGCCGGACTGAGAGCCGCTTGCAGTTTTAAAATCCAGATTAAAGGTTGATATTTAATTTAGCTATAATGGATGTTTTATTATTATTATTATTTTTTTACAATCAGATGCACTTAATTTTAATGTAATTATTAAATTATTTGTATTTTGTATTTATAGTTACAATTCTCTTTTGACAGAAAATATCTTTTACTTGCAGCAAATGAAAAATAAATGATACCATTAGCCCACTCTATACATTTTAATAGCAATTAAAGCAAACCTTTTACATCATGTTACATTCAGATGCTAGAAGAAAAAAATCTTGATCATTTATTTATTAGGAAAATTAAGAAAGTTACGTCTTGGAAGGAATGTTTCCAACATTTTTTAAATAATAAATTTCAGATGTTATGATACAGTTGTATAAGACACAATTATCAGGGTAATACATTTTTAATTTCTAACAGTCACCAGGTGTCCTCCCTTGGCTCCACCATCGCCACCTTTTGGTGAGTTAGAAAACTTGGTTGGCCAGGCAACATGCAGTCATGCCACCTATGGGACAGTTTGCAAACAGGGCTGTAAACCAGGCTTTGATTTCATTGGCCAGACAGCTCTACGCCGCTGCAGACGCGCCACAGATACCACCACAGTTGGGTATTGGGACGGTGTGGTGGGAAAATGTAAACGTAGGTAGAATTAAATATGTTTAGACAATTTTTGAAGAGGTATTTCAAGACCTAATTACAATGCATGCTGCCATGAACTTTACCTTGAGAGTGTACACTTCAATTAAATGATTGCATTATGTAGCAAGTGTCATAAGTTTTAACTGTTTTTCATTTATTTGTTCACATTTAGCTCGGACATGCAAGGTACCTTCCGTACAAAATGGATTTGTTAGTGGTTGTCCAAGCAACGAATCATTGGTGAACAGCGTGTGCTTGTTTAGCTGCGACCAAGGTTACCGTGGACCTAAGGGAGCGAAAGAGGTCAAAAGAATGTGTCAGGGAGATGGATCATGGAGCGGGGATCATCTTGTATGTCAAGGTAGTCATTTAGTAGAATACTAAGTTACAAAGATATTAACTTGTTATTTTAAGGTCACATGAACAGTTAGATAGCCTTCATTGTATAACAGTGTCATAGAAGAGTGAAGATACATATATATAGATTAGATGCATATTATATAATTGTCAATTTTGGGTGATGTCTGCTGTACAGCTGGATATGATTATGATCTTAAACCCCATTTCAGATGTCAGCTGCCAGGCAACCTTTTCTCTTCAGCATGGTACAGTCAGTCCTCCATTGTGCCAGCAGGGAGGGGCAGTGCGCTACGGGACCACGTGTGTCTTCACGTGCGATAATGGGTACATACAGCATGGATCTTACGCTGCACAGTGCATGGACTCTGGAAGCTGGAGCACAGCCAGGAAGACAGCATGCACAGGTAATGGATTAGGACTTATTTGAAATAGAAAAAAAAATGGCTGAGATTTTTTCAATTATTTTCAGATAGAAAAATTGTGATTATGATAATAAAATCAATATTTCATCATTAATGTCTTCAGACAATGAGCCTCCCCAGTTTACTGCCTCATGTCCACGCTATGTTGATGTCACTGCACCAAGTGGTCAAGTGACGGCTTCCGTGACATGGACGGAGCCCACGGCAACAGACAACTCCCATAATGTCACTGTGAAAAGGTACTATATATATATATGTTGACTTCTTGTGGCATGGTTTTATTTGGTACAACTGGAATTTAGTGGAAATTAGTTAAATGTCTTATCCTTTTCCATGTGTTTGCAGTTGTGATCAAGTGAAATACTTTGTGTATTGATATAATGATTCACAGCTTGATGTCAATTTTTCAGACAGGTAATTTAGTCATATGTTATAGACACCTGTTATAAAAAATCATGCATTTTATTTGAAAGCTGAAACAAGCCTATTACTGAAAAGGTTTTGCATACAGCCAAAATATATGTAGTGTTCTGTTTGTCCAATTTACATACTTAGACTTTTTTATAAAATATGTCTTTAAAACTGAATCAGCGGTATATTTTGGCATCATTTAAGTCACATTCAATTGGATATCTGGCAAAGCTCACATTCATTTGAAATATCAAACATGAAAATGATAAATAATAAAAGTAATAAAAAGAAATGAAAACTTAAGAAAATGTCCAATCACCTTCCAGACAAAAGGGTCACAAGTCACCAGGTGGCGTATTTCAAGAAGGAACAACCAGAGTGACCTATATCGCTACTGATGGTGCGGGACTCTCCTCACAGTGTGATGTGTATATACGGGTTGAAGGTACAGTTTTTCTTTCAAAAAGATTTTTATTACAATACTGAAACTTGTTTGAGTAGTGAGAGAGATTGAATCTATTAAAAGTTAATTCTGAAAAGGACTAAAACACCAGTTACATATATTTATACTGTGTACTTGTGAGAGTTAAAGCCAAATTGAGGAATATTGTAATTTTTTTTAGAATAATTGATCAGTATTATTAATTAATGGTTTGTAAATGAATAGATTTCTGATAAGTATCCATGCAGTAAATTGCTTGAAATATTTATCCATGTAACTTATTGATTTCAAGTTCACTTATGATTTTTAATATAATCAAAGTAACGCGTGCATTTTCATCATTCAGTGCGTAAGTGCCTCCCCCTCCCGCCTCCACTACATGGAGAATATGACCAGTGCCAGGGTTTTACACCAGTAGGGGGCACCTGCAGCTTCAAATGTAATCTAGGTCACCAGCTTTCTGGGTCAAGAGTCCGGACTTGCCAGTACTCTCCTGTTACTGACACTACCAGTTGGACAGGCACAGAAACCAAGTGTGAAGGTGGGTTAATAGGAATAATTAATGATAATATGATAATTAAATGTACAAACAAACTGGCAGCTTGGCCAATTAACTTGGTCAATTAACTTGCCCATTATGCTGTGAACAAAGCAAAGACACCATAAAGAATGGGCCCAGCCAGGGCGTTTTAAACATGGGGTCTGGGCTTTTTATGCATAGCACTAGATTTGGTCCGGGCCTTTGACATATATATATATATATATATATATATATATATATATATATATATATATATATATATATATATATATATATATAGTTCTGATCAGTCATTGTTATCTGTGTCAGTTGTCACCTGTCCTGCACTGACAGTGCCTAACAATGCCATCAAGTCTGGGTGTATCAGGGAACCACCTGCCACAGAGAAGTTTGGGACGGTGTGCAGTTTTTATTGTCGCTATGGTTACGGTGAGGTGGGTAACCCTGTCGCCAGGTGTAAGGAGGACGGAGCCTGGGAGAGAGAAAACTTCAGGTGTGAAGGTTGGTGGGATTTTTTCTTTTTTTTACCTTCTTTCTTTTTTTTCTGTTTTTCTTTATTTTTTTTGNATCATGTGTTTTCTCTGTACGTGTGGCTGGTAAGTACCCATACCTCCAGAGAATAAAAATTTCCATGATGACCATTTGTTAATTAATTAATTAATTAAGTTTGTATATATATTTATTTATTTGTGTATTTATTTATTTATATAATGATGTAATGACATGAGCTATATTCTGTTATTTTTTATAATTTCAAATTATTAATTTGTTATCAATTTACTTAATATTTCACATTTTGTTTTTGAGCCTTTAATAATAATAACTTACCCTTTCTAATTAAAATTTATTATGATTATAATTATTATTGTAAATCAGTATTAGTGACATGTCATTAACTTGACATCAGTGAAGTTTCTTAGGCTGAAATTATTGTTATTAGTGATACATAGAGAAAATAATGTATAGTAATGTAACTAGAGAACTCATAGCAGCTCATCATTGATGAACCAGATATTTAAAATCCTGATCTTATTTTTCCATAATGTTTGCTTTTCAGTAATCTACTGCAGACGACTTACCAACCTTCCTCTGGGACGTATTGATTGTACTGGTCTGAACTATGGCTCCACCTGTAGTTTTAGCTGTGGTCTCGGCTACGCTTTAACAGGCAGTAACATGACTGAGTGTGATATGAACCCTGACGCTGATGAAGTCGACATACAGAGAGGACTGTGGACACACAGCATGCCTTCATGCAACTGTAAGCCACCTTTAGAAGTTAAATTTGAGAACTATTTAATGAATTTTTGCTGTTTTAAATCTTATGTTGAAACTAGTGTAAGTGTTTGAAAGGTATGCTTAAAAGTTTTAAAAGAATTAAAGAAGATAAAAGGGCTTTGTTGCTCACAAATTTCCCCTTCATGTGAGAGCTGCAGTATTGTAACAAATGAAGAAATGAAAGGGGTAATTGTCTTGAATATATTAAAAAGTACAATTGTTTCTAAATATAATAAATGTGTCTTGTACTGATGTGTCTTGACCTTACATCAAAATATGTTTTAAAGTCTTAATTTATATGTGAATTGAGTCTCTTTTTTATCATCATGATACAGATTACAATCATGGAAAACACATTTATAAATGAATAAAGTAATAAATAAACATAAGAAAACTCTAATAAAGGAACATCACTGAGGAAAACCTCACCTATTCCAGCTCTCACCTGTCCTGCCATTCCATCTCCCCAACATGGCGCCACAGTGGACGACTGTTCTGCCAAACAGTTTGGTGAATTCTGCAGCTTCACTTGTGACCAGGGCTATGACCTGATGGGGACATCGTCCAGGAGATGTCTGGCTAGGATGGACGCCAGAGGGCGCTCACAGTCGTACTGGGATGGCGTGGACAGCACATGTGACGGTGGGTGATTGGCTCCATGGTAACAGTCATGATACATGATGATATACCAGAGAATGGTTTCACAGATAATATTTAGTCTGGTTGAAAGATGAAATTTGCTGTTGAATTTAAGAATTTAGTTTTCAGGCCACTTTGACCAAAAATAAGTCAGTATGCATGTCTATTTAGATACAGTTGTGCGTCTATTTTAAGAAGAAAATGTTATTGCTAAAATGGGCCAGACGGTCAATTGCTTTGTTGTAGAAGACGTTTAGGGACTGAAAATTAAGAACCATGTGGTGATCTTTGAATTGGAAATCAAATATGGCAGTAACTTTTATTGGGTAATAAAAAATCCCAGATAAATGTTTAATATTACAACAATTTTTAAATTTATCAAGTTCAACCATATTTTAGTCCGAACATGCAAGACCCTGTATCCCCCTACCCATGGTCAGAACACATCCCACTGCCCCCGCCGTCCACCCTACCAGACTCAGTGTGGGTTTAAGTGTGATCGCGGGTTCAGAATGCTGGGGGAACCCATTAACACCTGTCTTAACACTGGGAGGTGGAAGTTCTCAGAGCCAACTTGTAGAGGTACAGTATAATTATGATTATTTCAGTGTATAAGTACATACTTATCCGTAATTACAATATAATGCTGGTCTTGGTCCTTGTATAAAGTAGAACAGATCATTGGACTTACTAGTCAGATAAATTCTGCTGCTTCTCTGTAACAATATAAGTCTAAACCCCAAAATAGTGATATAATATAATATATAAATTCTGATGGTGTTCAGAATCCAAAATTCCTAATATGTTCAATAGACTTCACATCACAACAACGTCTTAATAGCTAAAGATATAAAGTAAAGTACTAGCCATGTCTGGGTCATGCTATAGAATAAGATGAATTTCACATATTCATGCTGATGCCAATTATTCAATACATGGATTTCTTAGAAAGTGTAGTTAGGTTTCACAATTTAAAAGAAAGTGTAGTATGGAGTGACAGTGACTCCTATAATTTCAGCCAAGCTGTGTGACTCCTCTCTGCTGCCTGCACCACAGAATGGCTACAAGAGTGGCTGTCCTCACACCAAGGAGACAGTGGGTACTGTATGTACCCTCCACTGTGACCAGGGCTATCAACCCACACTGCCACGCAGAGTGACCTGTGTGGACAGTGGTCAAGAAGTTGGACAGTGGAGCAACAGCTCCTTTGATTGTAGACGTAAGAAGTATTGGATTTTTGTGACATTTTGGTAACCTTTTACCAGCTAGTGTGTTCCATTTACCAGTAGTGGGTACTTCACAATTTTTAACATTCTGAATCACTGTTATTATCTTTGCCAACAAAAGAATTTAAGCTGAAAGCCCCAGTTTTTGCGACATTTAGACAAACTTTCTGATGCACACTAAAATCATCTACAACTGTAGGACATCCCACACAAGTCTGCACCTGTGCCATATTTTATATGCACATGAAGGAGAAAGAAAGCCAAAATATGTACTAGTTACTCCATGCACATATTTATTATTTTGTGTGTACTTCTTGTCTTTCTATGAGAAAAAATGTCAATACTATCAATACTACTGTCAATACTATCCAACCACTGAGGGATCTTCTGTTCAACTCCCCTGCATTCAGTGAGTGTGTTTTTAATTAGTCTAAGAGAAGATTCAGATCCACTATATATTCATATGTAACACCTTACTTCCAGCAATTCAGTGCCCCGCCCCTACCATAGCTGGCAATGGCACAGTTCAGAGGTGTTTATATCAAGGCTATCAGACGGATGTGTCATCTCCTCAGAGGTATGGCACCACGTGTACCTTCCAGTGTGCCAGAGGATACACAGGGATTGGGGTCATGGCACAGGCATGTCAAGCCACAGGGAAGTGGGATTCCAGCCAAGCACAGTGTAAAGGTACAGGACAGTAACTGTTAATTTGTGAAGGTTGACTACTAATCTATTGCGTCATTGTGGGTCAGATGGACAAGAGACTTTTGTCTTTATGCTAAAACCAAATATCGGTCTTAAGTTCTTTTCTGGAATCTGACTCACATTATTTATAGAGGTCTTTTTAAAATCTTTTCAGTCCCCTGTAACACCTTTTAGCGCACCCCCAGCCAGTGGTGTAAATTCATAAGGTGACCTCAACCATTTTGAATTTTTAAGCTTTATGATCAGTGTAATGTTAATATTTCTTTCATTTCCTGCCACCAGATGTCACCCCGCCCCAGTTAGAGTGTCCCACAGACCGCGTGTTGTTTGCAGAGGCTGGCAGGAGAGATGTGGTGCTCAACTGGGACTGGGAACCTATATGGGTAGATGTCTTTCCAGTCCCCTTATATTTAATAGAATTGTAGTTAAATAAACAGAAATAAACATAATACTTCTCTCTCTCTCTCTCTCTCTCTCTCTCTCTCTCTCTCTCTCATTTAATTTAGGTTACTTTCAACTTATTAAGTTTGGCTTCAGAAGAGAATCATAACATTATATATTTAATCTTATCATTTCAGGCTAAAGATGGAGACAGTGGTATCCCTGCAGTGTTGGTAGAGATCAATTCACAGTCCATCTCTGGAGTAAAACCCCAGCTGTTGTCAGAGGGAGAACACGTCTTCACCTACCAGGTCACTGATGGTGCCGGACTGAGAGCCGCTTGCAGTTTTAAAATCCAGATTAAAGGTTGATATTTAATTTAGCTATAATGGATGTTTTATTATTTTTTTTTTTTTACAATCAGATGCACTTAATTTTAATGTAATTATTAAATTATTTGTATTTTGTATTTATAGTTACAATTCTCTTTTGACAGAAAATATCTTTTACTTGCAGCAAATGAAAAATAAATGATACCATTAGCCCACTTTATACATTTTAATAGCTATGCAAACCTCTACCATCACATCTTGATCATTTATTTATTAGAAAAATTAAGAAAGTTACATCTTGAAAGGAAACTTTCTAGCATTTTTTAAATAATAAATTTCAGATGTTTTGATACAATTGTATAAGACACAATTATCAGGGTAATACATTTTTAATTTCTAATAGTCACCAGGTGTCCTCCCTTGGCTCCACCATCGCCACCTTTTGGTGAGTTAGAAAACTTGGTTGGCCAGGCAACATGCAGTCATGCCACCTATGGGACGGTTTGCAAACAGGGCTGTAAACCAGGCTTTGATTTCATTGGCCAGACAGCTCTACGCCGCTGCAGACGCGCCACAGATACCACCACTGTTGGGTATTGGGATGGGGTGGTAGGAAAATGCAAACGTAGGTAGAATTAAATATGTTTAGACAATTTTTGAAGATGTATTCAAGACCTAATTACAGTGCATGCTGCCATGAACTTTACCTTGAGAGTCTTCACTTGAATTAAATGAACGTGTTATTTAGCAAGTTTTATCTTTTTTTCATTTATTTGTTCACATTTAGCTCGGACATGCAAGGTACCTTCCGTACAAAATGGATTTGTTAGTGGTTGCCCAAGCAACGAATCCTTGGTGAACATCGTGTGCTTGTTTAGCTGTAACCAAGGTTACCGTGGACCCAAGGGAGAGAAAGAGGTCAAAAGAATGTGTCAGGGAGATAGATCTTGGAGCGGGGATCATCTCGTATGTCAAGGTAGTTATTTAGTAGAACACTAAGTTACAAAGATATTAACTTGTTATTTTAAGGTCACATGAACAGTTAGATAGCCTTAATTGTATAACAGTGTCATAGAAGAGTGAAGATACGTTTATATAGATTAGATGCATATTATATAATTTTCAGTTTTGGGTGATGTCTGCTGTACAGCTGGATATGATTATGATCTTAAACCCCATTTCAGATGTCAGCTGCCAGGCAACCTTTTCTCTTCAGCATGGTACAGTCAGTCCTCCATTGTGCCAGCAGGGAGGGGCAGTGCGCTACGGGACCACATGTGTCTTCACATGCGATAACGGGTACATACAGCATGGATCTTATGCTGCACAGTGCATGGACTCTGGAAGCTGGAGCACAGCTAGGAAGACAGCGTGCACAGGTAATGGATTAGGACTTATTTGAAACTGAAAAAAAATGGATGAGATTTATTCAATTATTTTCAGATAGAAAAATTGTGATTTTGATAGTAAAATCAATATTTCATCATTAATGTCTTCAGACAATGAGCCTCCCCAGTTTACTGCCTCATGTCCACGCTATGTTGATGTCACTGCACCAAGTGGTCAAGTCATGGCTACTGTAACCTGGACAGAGCCCACGGCAACAGACAACTCCCATAATGTCACTGTGAAAAGGTACTGTGTTGACCTCTTGTGGCATGGTTTTATTTGGTACAACTGGAATTAGTGGAAGTTAGTTAAATGTCTTATCCTTTTCCATGCAGTTTGCAGTTGTGATCAAGTGAAAAGTTTTGTTTTGATATAATGATTCACAGCATGATGTCAATTTTTCAGACAGGTAATTTAGTCATATTTTATAGACACCTGTTATAAAAAATCATGAATTTTATTTGAAAGCTGAAACAAGGCTTTTATTGAAAAGGTTTTGCATACAGCCAAAATATCATTTATATTAGTGTTCTGTTTGTCCAAATTACATGTACTTTTTTTATAAAATATGTCTTTAAAACTAAATCTGTGATATATTTTGGCATCATTTAAGTCACATTCAATTGGATATCTGGCAAAGCTCACATTTATTTGAAATATCAAACATAAAAATGATAAATAATAAAAGCAATAAAAAGAAATGAAAACTTAAGAAAATGTCCAATCACCTTCCAGACAAAAGGGTCACAAGTCACCAAGTAGCGTATTTCAAGAAGGAACAACCAGAGTGACCTATATCGCTACTGATGGTGCAGGACTTTCCTCACAGTGTGATGTGTATATACGGGTTGAAGGTGCAGTTTTTCAAGAAGATTTTAATTACAATACTGAAACTTGTTTGCTTAGCATTTCTATTTCCGCCAATGTGAGAGAGATTGAATCTATTAAAAGTTAATTCTGAAAAGGACTAAAACACCAGTTACATATATTTATAACAGTGTACTTGTGAGAGTTATAGCCAGATTGAGCAATATTGTAATTTTTTTTTAGAATAATTGATCAGTATTATTAATTAATGATTTGTAAATAAATAGATTTCTGATAAGTGTCCGTGCAGTTAATTGCTTGAAATAGATATCCATGTACCTTACTGATTTCAAGTTCACTTGTGGTTTTTAATATAATCAAAGTAATGCATGCAAGTTCATTTAACAAACAATCATATGAAAGTATAATAAAAGCTCATTTATGATATTCTATATTTTCATCACTTAGTACGTAAATGCCTCCCCCTCCCGCCTCCTCTACATGGAGAATATGACCAGTGCCAGGGTTTTACACCAGTAGGGGGCACCTGCAGCTTCAAATGTAATCTAGGTCACCAGATTTCTGGGTCACGAGTCCGGACTTGCCAGTACTCTCCTGTTACTGACACTACCAGTTGGACAGGCACAGATTCCAAGTGTGAAGGTGGGTCAATAGGATTAATTAATGATAATATGATAATTAAATGTACTGGATGTGATTTTTAAACAGCCACAGTCTCAATAATTATAAATTTCATATTCACATTGTTTTTTCTTTTATGTGATGTAGGATTTTTATCAATCAGATTAAAAAATAATAAAGAAATTCTGCTACTGTAAAGTACATAGGATTGACACTCTTAATTAAGACAACCAGATTGCAACAGTAGCAGTTAAAAGATTTTCAATTTTTTTAATGGAAGGTACCAAGTTTTGATTTCTTCTCCTTTCTTATATATATATATATATATATTATATATATATATAACCATAATTGTTGACAGTAGTACAACAGTGATTTTATTAAATATTATTATTGTAATTTTCATTTATATAATTGTTACTATTATTATTGATATAATATATATATAAGTTATTAACAGTCATTGTTATCTGTGTCAGTTGTCACCTGTCCTGCACTGACAGTGCCTAACAATGCCATCAAGTCAGGGTGTATCAGGGAACCACCTGCCACAGAGAAGTTTGGGACTGTGTGCAGTTTTTACTGTCGCTATGGTTACGGTGAGGTGGGTAACCCTGTCGCCAGGTGTAAGGAGGACGGAGCCTGGGAGAGAGAAGACTTCAGGTGTGAAGGTTGGTGGGATTTTTTTTTCTTTTTTTTTTTTTACTTTCTTGCTTTTTTCTGTTCTTCTTTATTTTTTTTTGATGTTTTTAATGGATGAAATTTGATAATGCTCATGAGAGTATCATTTCTCGGATTTGGTGATTTTTTTCTGAGTTTCCATTTTTCATCCAGTGATAAATGATACAGTAATTGTTTCAGTTGCACTTCATTGTCTTCTGAGAGAACATAGTAGAACGCTTTCGTGATTAGACACTAAATATTTTTATATTAATTATAAAAGTGACTTCTTAGCTTGATGGTCTGCAATTAAGTGAATGCTGAAGACAATAATTATTGAATAGATAGAAATGTAATAAATAAATTGTGCATCATTTTCTAGTTCAGTCTTGTCCAGCTTTGACAGAAACTTCAGACTATAAAATTAGTCCAGCCAATTGCCTGTCTCAGCCACAGTTTCTGCAGAGCTGTGTTTATTCATGTCGGAAATCTGGTTATCGTCTGCGTCCAATTGGTCACGACTTTGTCACGTGTCTTGCTAGTGGAAAATGGACCAGAGATATCCAGAATCTAAAATGTGAAGGTAATGTTATAACATTATTTTGTCTTTTTATACTCGGTTTAAAGCTTGATTTTGGAAGGTGATATGTTTCAGTATTTATTTAAGATGTATATGAGTTTATTATTTTAGGTACTAAATATTTTGGATTTGACATATTCAGTTACATAACTTGGCAGTATCATGTTACAATATTTATCAGTAATTATAGTTTTTTCAATTGATTTCAATGGAGAAATAAAAGAAATTAAATTTATTTGAAGATTAATTTCAAAATTTTCCAGACATTGAAAAACCAAGATTTACTCGTTGTCCATCCGACATTTTCATTTATGCTGAGAAGGGCACAGACTCGGCCCTTGTCACATGGGAGACACCAGTCGCTGTGGATAACTCAGGAGAAGCACCAACTGTGACCACAAGTAATCTTCCATCTCGATTCTCATCTGGCAGTCATCGCGTGACGTACACAGCTGTTGATAGAACTGGAAATAGGCAGATATGTGAATTCACAGTCAATGTTGAAGGTATGTGCATTATTAAGATCAAAAGGCATCTGATTTAGGTAGCTACACAGATTTTGGTATAAAAAGTAGTGAAAATTTTGAAAAAAATGTTACTACATGAGTTTTTTTTCTGTTGATAGCTCTATTTGATAGAAGCAGTTTCAGTTTTGGCAGTTACTTTTATATGTGGACATTTATAGTGGAGAAATAAGTGGTCACAATTTGTTTTCTGACATTTGAAGAATTCTCAGATAACATGTTTTAGGATAATGCCAGCGTTTAAACAGTAATTGAATAACACTGTTAGTAAAGAATTCTTCTTTGATATTGAACCTTTGCTGTTAATTTTTATCAGTTCGAAGATGTCCTCGCCTTCAACCCCCTGTGTATGGAATATTTGATGGACCTTGCAAAAACAGTTACGGCACCAACTGTACTGTGAAGTGTGTGGAGGGATATCGCCTACAGGGAGCCAGTACCATGACCTGTTCTCTGAGTGGGAATTTAATGTACTGGGACATGGAGGAACAACCACGTTGTCAAAGTATTGCAAGTTTTCAATAGGAAATTGTATGTCAGTGGGGATTAGGATGGGAATTTACCCTTTATATGATCCTTTTTACATGTTAAGGAAAAAATCAGACCAGCGAATATTTCATTAATTTACTAATATCATTTTTCCATCTTTTATATATATTAAAAAAATAAGATGTAATATATTCTTTCATATATATTTTTAAAAGAACTAAGATATAATATGTCTATTTGCAGTAACTGGCTGTCCTGCCCTGACTCCACCAGTGAATGGATTTGTGTACCCCGCGTTCTGTGCTGGTAACTACACCCCCTATCACGGCACTGTTTGTAAGTACTTCTGTAAGCAAGGCTTTAAGATGGACTCGCCAAGGAATGATGTTGTGTGTGGACTTAATGGACAGTGGAGTGGAGATACTTCTGTTGTCAACTGCAAAGGTAACTCATTTTTTTACATATTTTGCAATAGATATAAAGTAAGGCTGGTTGACTTCAGTCACTTCATTTTACCGCTTTCACGAACTCTCGTGATATAATTTCTTCTTTAAATGCTATAAAAAACTTTTAAAACTTTGCGTCAGAGCTCAGCTTTTACATTTTATCAGTTTAATTGAAATTGTGATCACTTCCCCCCATTATTGTTAAAATTGAAATATTGTAAATACATAAATAATATAAGTTGATGAGACAGCTGTAATTTTTATAATCACAGAAATAATCTTAATTATTGGTGCCAGGTTTCTTATTTGTAGCTTTTATATTTATATTTTATACATCTGAGTCAGTGGTCCAAGAATTATAGTCATTGACAACAAATATTATAACATACTACACTATGATTAATATCAAAATTTACTTGCAAACATGAGAATAAGTAAAAATATCACTGTATACTGTCTCTCCTTTCAGATGTCACCCCACCCCGCATTTTGACCTGTCCCGGATCAATAACAGCCAGTCTGAATGCCTCCACCCTGACAGCTATGGTGGACTGGGATGTCCCGCTAGCAGAGGACAACTCAGGACAACCTCCTCAGATGACTGTGTCACCAGCTGGGGTGGCGCCACTGTATGGTTTTAATACTACGACAGAAGTAGTGTACACATTTACTGATGATGCTGGGAACAGTGCTGAATGTAGCTTCACTGTCACTGTGCAAGGTACAGAATGCTTACTGCAGAGTCATGTTTTTTCACGATTTAATAATAAAATCCCATTTTGTTGATGCTTTTCCATCTTTACAGCCCTGAAATTCTTAATCCCAAGGTCACCAATTAAACCATTTCTTCTTTTTGCCAGCAAAATCGATATCTGTAAGATTCTTTTAAAGATGATCATATTGATAACTATGCTATTGGGTTCTATGGTGCTGCTAGTAATAGTGCAGCTCTAATTAAACTACTTTGATTGTAAAAAGGTAATTATGTGTACTGTATGTATTGTTCAATGTTTTGATAATTATGATTGATAAAGATGAAAATAATAATTGATAATAATGATAATACTGTAGGTGATGATGACAAAATAAATTATTAGTCATAATATAACAATAATTATATGAGGATGGAGATTATAGTGTCAGCAATGAATAAGATCATAATGGAGTATACTTATCATTTTAATAATAATAATAATAATAATAATAATAATAATAATAATAATAATAATAATAATACTATTTCAGAGGACATAGCCCCTATAGTCAGCTATTGCCCCTCAGGGGTGAGGTCCCAGGCCAAAGGTCACCAGGCTTCAGTCTCATGGAGAATGCCTGTCTTCACTCTCCCTGACGGTTCTCTCCCTATCGTAACCCCCAGTATAAACAGTGGAGATTACACCTGGGGTAACCACACTATACAGTATAGTGCTCGCAACCCCAAGAATGGGAAAACATCTTTCTGTACTTTTATGGTGTCTGTTGAACGTAAGTACAGCAGTTAATTCTGCCTTGCGTTTGTTTGGTAACAAATGTTTGTAGGATTTGTTTCTGCTGTTGTTATTTAATTTTTGGCAAAAGATACTATAATATTGTTCATTTTTATGAGGTGTTAGTAGCTGGAGGAGACATAAAAGTTTTATATCACACAAAAGATGCCCTCCATTTTAAACCCCACCTCCCCCACAGAAAACATTGGTTTTGTTTTATGACAGATGGAGTAATATGTTGCGTGGTATTGTACTGTACCTGTAGTAAAAAAATCTTACATTCTCCTTTTTTCCTTTGTTCTTTATTAATAGTTCTAGTTGTATAAAAGTTGTTTCCTCTGTTTCCCCTTGATTTCTTTTAAGTAATAGAAAGAGCAATTTAGTGAAGTGTTCAATCTTTTCATAACTTTTTAAAAGATTTTTTATCGCAAGAAATTTTTCTCAAACATTTTTTTCTTTTAAATCATTGTAGCAAAGAGATGTGCCCCACTTGACCCACCTAAGAATGGAGCCCTGTCGTGTAACAACTGGGGTTTGGGGAAGTTCTGCTCCATGGCCTGTAACGAGAAGTGGGACATCCCCAGAGGAATCACCGCGGCTACTATGTTTGCCTGCGGCGCCAACGGGATATGGAAACCAACAGATGAGGTGCCTGACTGTGTGGGTACGTAAAACGTTTATACTTAAATGTTGAAATTGAAGTGCACTTGACTGGGAAAAGTGTTCAGTTGGTTTTGTCCAATGTAAGACTATCTAGAAAAGTATTTATTTAGTTTTACATATATTTAATTTTATATTTAATTATTTTGCATTTTTCATCAAAAACAAGTATTCTTGTACTACTATCTTGAAGCAGTAGTACTCAATTTTGAATGGTAGGTAAGCTAATCATCACTCTAGCAAATAATGCAGCATGTCATTTGGCTTGCATTAATTAAAGGACCCTTTATTACTGTCCACAAATTTTTAAAAATCTTGTATTTCAGAGCCCAGAGATGCCATATCCAGATTGCCATCAGAGCTGCACTACTTCACAGGTGATTGCAATGACCCCTCCACACAGACACAAATCAAAAACAACTTTATTCAGATCCTCCTTGGCTCCATTCTCAGCAGCAAATGCAATCCCAATGAGGACTGCAAACCAGAGAATGTACAAGTTACATGTGGTCCTGTGTCCATGTTCCGTCGAAAACGGCAAGCAGATAGTTCTGGACTCCGTTATGTGACCAAATTGAACTTTGACCTTCAAATGGTGGTCAAAACTGCTGGATACAGAACAACCCAAAGAGAGGCTTACATGGCCCAGTACAAACTATACCAGATGGCTGTGGCATTGAGAGGCATGGTAAATAATGGAGATGACCGCCTCACCTTACGAGCTAATATTGCTAACAGGGTGGATAGGCAATCCTTCAAGCAGGGAAGACCACAGATTACGTGTAGTAACCCAGATTTGGCATTGAGTCAGGCGCTGAAATGTGGTAAAATATCTTTAATGATTTGTAAATCTTGGATGTAGTGACAGTATTAAAGGTTGATAGATTGGCGGAATGAGAGGGTGGATGAATGAATAGATGTTTGGTTCAATAAATTGACAGTCAAGAAAAGTTTTTGTGGCTGAAAGAAAGGTTGGGTAGACAGACAGACAGACAGACAGACAGACAGACAGATGGACAGAATTTTATGGTACTGTCTTGATCTCATCAAATTTTAAGAATTTATGAAATGAAAACCCCCAGTATCTGTAAAATTTACTATTGTCCCCATTGAAAAGATTGAGTCATTACTGTAAAAAGACAGATAAGGTTTCATAATGGAGAAATGAATGTCAAATTACATATATTGAAAAAAGGCTATATATAAAATGTATATATGACAAGTATATAAGCGTGTAAGATATATTTGATTAATTCACATTTCACTTAGAAATTGTTTTATATTCTAGTGTCATGTCCCAGTGGCACCCGTTTTAACCAGGCTTCCCCCCTCCCCAGCAAGTGTGACCCCTGTCCACTGGGGACCTATCAGAATGAGTCTGGTCAGCGTCACTGTGTCCAGTGTCCGAGTGGTCACTCAACTCGTGGGACGGGATCCAAAAATGCCACTCAATGTTTGCGTAAGTAGTACAGGGGTACACAGTCAAATGTCTCCGAGTTTCAGAGATTGCTGGAAACTAAAGCTTCAAAACATGGAAATGGCTGAGAGGCATGCTGATCAATTGTCTAGTTTCCAATAGTCTCTGAAATTCAGGGTGAACTTTTCCAATTGTAGTCAATAATTTTATGTAAGACTATATATGATAATTATTTAATCATAGCTATCTGTACGCCTGGAACATCCTCTCTGACTGGAGTGGAGTCCTGTACACCCTGTAAGAAAGGAGAATATCAAGACCAGTCCAGTGCCAAGTCCTGCAATAAATGTAAAAATGGCACAACAACAGTGGATGTGGGGTCCACCAGCTCAACGCAGTGTAAAAGTGAGTATGTCAATGTGTGTGTGTGCGCGTGTGCGTGTGTGTGTGTGTGTGTGTGTGTGTGTATATGAACAGATCATTTTTTCACTGATGACTCACCTCAGCTTAAATTTATATATTTTACGAAATAACCCTTTTGCCTGTTTCTGTATTACATATTTATGAAGTTGAAATTTAAAAGATTTTGCAAGATAGTAGGTTCTATATTTGCTGTCATTATGGTATTTTATTATTTATTTTATAAATATTGTAATATTTTTTCCAGGCATTTGTCCACCAGGCAGTTTCTCTTCCAATGGAGTTGTTCCTTGTACTTTGTGTCCTTTAAATACTTACCAGACTGAAGATGGCAGCACCAGCTGTATGTCTTGTCCAAGAGGAGCTGTTACAGAGAAGGATGGTGCTGTTGATTTATCTGACTGCAAAGGTGAGTCACAGATTGTACATGTACATCCGTTAGTTGGATTGCTTGATTTTTTTATATAAAATTATGTAATAGGATAATATGTCAGTTGTTAGAGCATTGATAGAATCAGTAGCAAATGCTCTTTTGTCATGTAGAAATTATAATTTTTATTATACTCAAATAAAGATACACCTGCTGCTATGCTTACAATACTAAAATGCCATACAACTGTTATAACTGCACAAAAATTTTGTCATTCTAGCCATCAATGAGTGTCTCTCGTCTCCTTGTCACAGTGGTGGCACCTGTGTAGACCTGATGGTCGGCTTCCTGTGTCAATGTCCAGCAGGTTACACTGGCGCCACCTGTGAGACCAACATTGACGACTGCCTGTCACAGCCATGTGCTAACAACGGGACATGTGTGGATGGAGTAGACAGCTTTACCTGCAGGTGCTTACCTGGATATGAAGGTACTGGGGTCCTCAGGAATGAATTTTTTTCCAATTTTAATTGGAAATCTTTTCTTTTTATCTGTGGTTTTCCAACTTAAGTGGCTCGCATCCCTTGTTTTAAGGCCACATAGCTATTTCTTCCAACTTGTTTTACAACCCAAGATCATATGTAGTTAAAACATATGGGTTTAAGATACTGAGTATTATATTGACAGTACAAGAAGAAAAATATGTGTAATGATATTAGTTAAGTAATACTGTATATGTTTTTATAAGTGATACATTAAAATAGCTGTTGTAAATTTATCAAAATGAATTTGTCTATGCATATATTTATATATAATATACATATTTTGGATGTTAACTGTAAACGTTGAATTAACATTTCAGGTGATGACTGTTATTTAAACACAGATGACTGTGTCAACTCTCCATGTAAGAATAACGCCACCTGTATAGATGGTTTAAACAAATTCACATGTCAGTGCATGGAGGGGTTTGAAGGTGACCTGTGTGAGACAGCTACAGACTACTGTCAGTCCAGTCCCTGCAAACACGGAGGAACATGTCAGAGCACCATTGGCAGCCATTTTTGTCTTTGCCCTCTGGGATACATGGGAAAGAATTGTGAGATCAAACAAGATAACTGCCGTGGTTCGCGCTGTTTGAATGGTGCAACCTGCATTTCCACGACTGCTTCTTATACCTGTACTTGTCCAAATGGATATAGAGGGCGCTACTGTGAACATGACCTAGATCTCTGTCAGTCAGCACCCTGTAAAAACGGCGGAACATGTGTTGATGTTGGCACAGACTTTACGTGCTCCTGTCCCCCAGGGAAGTCTGGGAAGGTTTGTGAAAATGACCTAGATCCTTGTGACCCAAATCCTTGTCAGCATGGCGGATCCTGCTCAGGTTGGACCAAAACTTTGTGTTGTATTCTTCTATGCATTTACCTTCAAAAGTCTTGACAACATACATATACTACAGACATATTAGTTTTACTTTCTAATGAATGGTATATGGTATTACCGCAGATATATGTAACATGAAACAAGCACATTCAAGGACAATTTGCAGTTTATGTAGGCCCTGCAATAATATGAAATAATTAAAGGTTTAGATTATAATACATCAGCTGAATTTAGTGAGCACTTTTGTTTCCAGGGCAACCAAGAACAGACAACTATACTTGCACATGTGTGCCTGGATTTGCTGGCGTAGACTGCGAAGTCAATGTGAACGAATGTGCTGACAATCCTTGCTCAGGTGGCGCTGGCTGTATAGATTTAGTGAACGACTTTGCATGTATATGTCCTCTTGGTCTGACAGGTAAGAATGTGCTTACTCTGAGATGAAATTTATTTTGGCCTAAGAGACAGGTGACTGGTAACCAATTTGATATCAAAATTGTGGATCAAATCAAGACATTGAAATATTTTTCTATAAGGTTACTAAGTAAAATATTCTTCTGCTTATATACTAGTAGAATGTGTTTTGCACATATAGCTAAAACTTCCTTTGAATTTGCTATTTATGATATACAAATCATATGTAAATGTCAAGACACAACTAACAAGGTGAAAGAAACTTAAGCTGTCTCTTCTGTTTAAGCAACGGCTTAAAAGTGAATCGTACAAGCCTAGTATTTATGCAGATTAAATGTTATGATAATAATTGTAATAATAATAAACAGTGCTTTTGTTGCCAATTACACAGTTTCCAACATGCAACATGTCAGTACCTTTATTGCTTTTATTATTATCACCAGTTGAAAGTTTTCTGAAAATAGATTTAGTGTAGAATAAAGTTGTTATTGTAACTGAAAGAAACTTAGAACATGATTACATTGTGGGTGTGACAATAGCAGTTGTTTCCTATTGACCAAGAGTGGTAGTCAGAAGAGGTTGGAGCATGATGTCCCATTTTTTCTTATACCATGACATGCCATTCTTTCTAATATCATATTGCCCTTCTGGTGTTTTTATTTATGTCTCAATTTAAAAGATCTCACGTTTTATCACTTTTAGTGGATGTTGCAATAATTGCCTGATATTTATTCTAGGCAGACGCTGTGAACAAAAAGTCAACTTCTGCTCTGTTTCACCCTGTCAAAATGGAGGCACTTGTGAAAATGGCGTCAGTGATTTCGCCTGCCGCTGCCCAGAGAAATTCACTGGAAAAACATGCAGCCAAGTGGTGGCAGTGTGTGATGTCAACCCTTGTGATAATGGAGGAAGATGCGTCCCTGACGGCAATGGTGACTTCACATGTTATTGCAGTGGTCTGTATAGTGGTAAGAGTCAATATAATGATAAAATAGTGAAGCACTGTTTTATATCTTTAGTATCTTTAGTTATCCAATGCTGTATTTAACAGATGTTTATTTTAAAACATCAGATTATGTAGCTGTGAATTTTTATATATAAGGGACCATGTAAGCAAAAATAGGTATATATACTATCCAACCAGATGCCAAATAATCTTACTGTTACACCAAAAGAAAGTAAAATGGGCAGCTTGGCTCTTTATAATGTCCCAGTGGTAATGATGGGCAAGTGAAATAATAAGATGATCTACATGTTGGTACATAGTGCTGATAAGATCACCATTATTTCCCCCCTCCTCACAGGTAAGCTATGTGATCAGCCGTACACACCCTGTTACTCAGACCCATGTTACAATGGAGGACAGTGTGTGGTGACAGGGGACACATACAGGTGTGACTGCACAGGTGGATTCACTGGGGACAAATGTCAGGTAAGTTTCTAAGGTTTCCATGGTAACTGGGTGATTGAGACTTTAATTGCTCTATTCAGCGTATTACAGTGGAAACTCTGGAATTTTTTTCTTAACATATTTTAAAATATTTTGATTGGATCCAGTGTATTTTTATCAAGCATATTGCATGTTGATCGAATGATTAGTGATTGTGTGCATATAATAATAATCATAATCATAGTACAAATAATAATAATTATTATTTTTAATATATATTGTTTTCAGATTGATATAGATGAATGTGCTAGCAATCCCTGCCAAAACAATGCAACTTGTACAGATGGAACATCCTCTTTTACTTGCTCCTGTCCTCCTGGCTTCACTGGCGCCCTCTGTGAGCAGAATATAGACGACTGTCTGTCACAACCTTGTGTTACCGGGGCAACATGCCACGACATGGTGAATGGATTCCGCTGTGAATGCCCACCTGGATTCACGGGGCGCACGTGTAACGAGGAGAAAAGTCTGTGTGGCTCCTCTCCTTGCGTCCATGCTAACCGTTGTGAAGATAATGGCGGTCATTATCAGTGCATGTGCTCTGCTGGATGGACTGGACAACAATGTGATGTTGAAATTGATGACTGTCAACCCAATCCATGCTTGTTTAATGGCACGTGTGTAGATCTTGTGAACGGGTACACGTGCACGTGCCCTGAAGGGTTCTCCGGGAAGAGATGTGAGGTTAATATTGATGAGTGTGAATCAAATCCATGTCAGAATGGAGCCAAGTGCTTGGATGGAGTGAACAAATTCACTTGTATTTGTCCTGTAAGTATATGTTTTAGAGTTTGTTGTTAGAAATTACTGGCACCTGAAAGAAATGTTCTTGCATAATTTTCTTTGATGTGCATTGTAATACTGAATATACTGGTATTTTTATCTTTGAATTAGCACAAAATTTTACAGCTGGTAAGACAAATCTTTTTTATGAATTAATGAATCATTAATTTTGGCATGGATCAACATCTAATATATAAAATAACTCTTGGAAAATGTTCAGTGGCATTATTTTCAAAGAATGATAAATAATAGTGTAACTGTGACATAGAAGTTGAAATTGGGCAAGTAAGGCAATACGTCTTTTGTACACTCCAAATCATTTCATTTACATTTAGTACTTTGTACATGTACAATTCATTCTCTCTCTCATGGGTTCATAAGTAAAAAAGTATTATGCATATATCAAATCGTCTTTAAGGCTGGCTGGACAGGGGCATATTGTGAAGTCAACATTGATGATTGCATCTCACAACCTTGTAAGCATGGTGCTACATGTCAAGATGGTAACGCCACCTATAGTTGTGTCTGCTCACCTGGCTTCACTGGTAAACACTGCGAGGTCAACATCAACGACTGTGCAGGATCACGTTGCAGTAATGGTGGAACTTGTGTTGACTTGGTGGATGGTTTTGACTGCATTTGTGCTGCAGGTATGTGACATTCTTACTCTACATAGGACATTATTCTTTGCCTGAGACATTTTCAATCTTTTTCTATGACCAATTAGTAGAACTTTTGGATATATAAAAGCTGATGGATGTTATCAGTCAGAATGAAACAACTTTATTTATTAAGATAGTGACATCATAAGTATACTACAATGAACATAAAATGTACTCCCTAAATATTGAAAGTAATGTTTTATTGTGATATAAACTATCATCATCATTGCTCTTTTATTTGACACAATACAGAAGCATGAACCACACATTAAGGAGTGTTATCTTAGTGAAGAGTGAACATGGAGGCACCATGGTAGAACTGTTGTAGCATAGAAATATTTAGTTATTCAAGGTTTAAATTATTGATCAATGTTTTTTGGTTGAATTAATCAATTGCCATTTTTTACAGGATACACTGGGAAGGTTTGTGACCAAGATCTTGACGAATGTCAGGAATTCTCACCTTGTAAGAATGGGGCTACATGCATAGATGGCTTTAACTCATATCAGGTATGAAACTATTGCAAATTTCAAAAGATCAAGGCATTATTTTATTTTTCAGACATCCCCCCCCCATTTTTTTGAATGTGTGCTTTAAAGTGTCTGTAAATGTTAATCATTGATGAAAAACACATTTCAAAACATTTGATTGAATTTGGCTGAGTTCGTAGTTTTTCAGATTTAACTGAGTACAAAGTGAAATAAAAAAAGGAAAAGTTTAATTTAAAAGATCATGTCAACAATCACTACCACCATTAGTATATGCTCTGTTATCACATAAAAAGTTAACACTGTGAAAACAAGACTAATTCGATGACCGTTTTTGTCCAGTGTACATGTGCTGCTGGCTACTCAGGTGACCAATGTGAAGTGGACATAAATGACTGTGTCCCTAACCCGTGTGGCAATGGAGGAAGGTGTCAAGATCTTGTGAACTCCTTCCAGTGTACTTGCCTCCCTGGATACACGTATGTGATATTAATTGTAGGATTCATTATCAATAAGGATTTCAAATCTGATTCAGCAGTTTATACACTAACACTAAGCTGACAGTTCTTACTACATAATTTACATGTCTGGACTGATTTAGTAAACTCCTTCAGTGTACTTGGATCATAGTTTTATTTTAGCATTCATTAAGGCTCTATCATACAGTTATAGCTGTGGATTGATGTAATCATACCATTTTGAAAATCATGCAGAATTATAAAATGTTTGTTTTTATTGAAAGGCACTATGGGCATTAGACCCTTATACAACAAACAGTTATTTTAATTACCTATTTATTTCAAGATTTTTTTTATCTTAATTACCAACTTTGGTGAACCATATCCAAAACATAATTAAAATGACCTTAATTAAGTCAGTGTTTGATCTCTAAGCTTAGAACTCCAATAACACAAGTTCATAGATCATAACTTTTCTCAACAATTTTTGAAATATTTCTTATAATACAAATTGTTGAAAAAAATTCTCAGGAAAAAATCTTGTAAGTTACACTGTATGCCTTCTGTTTTTCATTTTATTATTTCAAATATTCTCTCTATTATCTCAGGGGTCGTACTTGTGATGTAGACATAGATGAGTGTACTGGAGTCAGCTGTGGACAGGGGGGCACTTGTATTGATAAACTGAATGATTTCACCTGTATCTGT